AAATGTCTGCAAAGACTTGTAGGTCCGTTTCTCCATATTTCAACTCTGGGATCTCCGCAGCTTGTTCCATACTTTTTTCTCTATCCTCATAATCATGGAAACACACATCTCTAGAGGTATCTGATGCTACTCCTGATGGACGTCTTAATCTGTGAGTTCTGAATCTTCAGAGGATCTGTGACTGTTCTGCCTAGCAAAGGATTGAACACTTTGTTTACTTTTTCCAGGAGGTCCTCTTCATGCACATCTTCTGGGAGGTCCCTGATCCTTAAATTATTTCTTCTCTCTGTTTTCTTGGTCCTCCAGTTAGTATGAAAGCCTCCTCTGTTCCCCCCGCATCTCATCCAACTGCATTTCCAGGTTACATATTTGCTGAGCCTGTGTCTCCAGTCTCCATTTTCTCCTCCACTTCTTCCACTCTTGACAACATTCGTCCAAGATCTTTATGGATCACCGCCATTTCCTTTTTCATAGAAAATATCCAGTTTTGCAAGCATTTCCATCTCTTTTTTTGTAGGGATTTGTAATATAACTCCTTGTTCGGGAGCGTTTTGATCATTTTATACTATCAATATTTATTGTTTCATTAGTCTGATCTTCCCGAACTCCAAATGACAGTCTGGAATGCTCCCCATCATGTTTTCTCTCTCCTTCCTGGTGTTTTTCTAAACATTGTGTCGTATTTCTTTATTGTGCTAGTATTTGCGCTGGATTAGTGTTCTTTCTCCCCCACCCTTAGTGGATCTACTCCTCATGTTTGCAATAATGAAACATATATATACTTGTGAGCTACTATGATGAGAGTCTAAGATATTCCAATTGATTGTCTATATGCAGTGACGAACAAAATGTAATACACCTGTGGTTCGCTGGCACTCACACCAACTCATTAAACAGTGTTCTGTGACTAAAAGATAAATATACCAATAGTGCCGTGCTCCTATATAAATTATCTGTAATAATTTGTGTTATGATTTCCAAATCAATTGATAAACAATATAAATAAATGAAAATTAAACAATAAAATTTACCATATAAAATATAATATATGATGCAGTAATTGATCATCTATTGCCTATAACCTCATATACAAATGATAAAACATGATTGTGCTTGTGATCATTTGTGAAATCTAATAGTGAGCAAAAATCAATAAATATGTGCACATAAAAAGTCCTCTTCCAATGTGAATTACAATGGTGAAATGCTACTCCCACAATCCAAGTGCAGTGTGGTCTTAATATGCGCTCACCTTAAGTTTTGCCTAAGTAGGCAAAACTGGCTTTTTGTCCTTACAGGACTGATGACATAATCCTCCTGTATGGGGTTTTCTGAATGGCAAATAGATGGTTGTAATTAGATCTTAATCCACCTGGGGTCTCTGCAATGAATGTGACTGATGCTTGTCAGGAATGGATGGATGGATAGGTATCTCCCTTTTTCCCCTCCAGGTCTCCTTCCTCCTGTATCAATCTCTCTCCAGTGTATCACGGATGGATAACTATACAGTGTTTGCTGTAAGAAGTGTGCAGAAATCCCTTATCCAAAATGGCAGCATGTGCACTTCCGGTTACGGCCTGAGGTCATCAGCGCACCCTATGTGTTACGTCATATCATGTGACTTCATCAGGAGGAGATCTCCCACAGCTCATATGCAGCGCACCAATGAAAAGCCTTCCTCCTGTGTCTATTTCTGCCCTCACACACCAGCAGGTAACGCCTCAGCTGTTGGCAGAAGAGCGCTGTCCATCAGACCACAAGCACGCGCTCCCACCGGTGGACAGGGAGCCTGTCTCCAGAGGTTTTAACAGTCTTGAATATCATTTATAGCGCATATATTATTTGTAGCAATGCTTGGCCCCTGAGATACCCCGATTCCTTAATCTTCTACTCCAGCCCCACAACTCAGATATACAAACTACTTAGCAGCAGAAAACAGTAACAGGCTTTCAATTTCTTGACGTTGCCCATGGCAACTCACCATCCCTTCCGAGCCTGAAGTTCTGGGTCTGTGTTTCTGTGTGGTGTTCTCTTCTGCCCCCATTGGGGTCTTGTATCCCAGGTTGTGGTATCACCCGAGAGGAGGTCTGAGAGGGCACTCAGGGTGTCCTGAATCCAGATGAATCCTATGTCCTCTGGTATCTCCTGATGGTACAGAGTGACTTCCAGCCAGCCTGCTTGCTCAGTGCAGGCCTTGTGTGGACAGCCTCCACAGGAGTCCTTCACAGCTCAGGTGCTTCCTCCTCTCTTCCCTCCAAGCCTCCAATGCTCCGAGACGCTCCCCCAGCAACCAGCTCCTGCCTCACCGAGAGCTCTGGGATCCAAGCCCCCCCCCTCGATCCCTCCAGCAGGGGTATAGCAGGCCACGGGCATTTTTTTGTCAGTGTTTGGTGGGCGTCGGGAGCTCCTGCACCTTGGAGTCTCCCAGCACCATGATCAGGCCACTCCCCAGTTCAGTCTTTCCTGACATTTTCTTAGTCACATCCTACAGAAAAATCTGTAGTCCACAGAGAGCTTCCAAAGCATCAGAGGGATCTCATTGTTAAAAGGTATCAGTCAGGAGAAGGGTACAAAAGATTTTCCAAGGCATTAGATATACCATGGAACACAGTGAAGACAGTCATCATCAAGTGGAGAAAATATGGTGCAACAGTGACATTACCAAGAACTGGACGTCCTTCCAAAATTGATGAAAAGGCAAGAAGAATACTGGTCTGGGAGGCTAACAAGAGCCCTACAGCAACATTAAAGGAGCTGCAAGAATATCTGGTAAGTACTGGCTGTGTGGTACATGTGACAACAATCTCCCGTATTCTTCATCTGTCTGGGCTATGGGGTAGAGTGGCTAGACGGAAGCCTTTTTTATGAAAAAAAAAAAAAAAACATTCAAGCCCGGCTAAATTTTGCAAAAGCATGTGGGAAAATGTCTTATGGTCTGATGAAACCAACGTTGAACTTTCTGACTCAAAAGCAACACTGCACATCGCCAAAAGAACACCATACCCACAGTGAAGTATGGTGGTAGCACTGGGGCCTTAATCAAGGTAGAGGGAAATATGAACAGTTCCAAATACCAGTCAATATTGGCACAAAACCTTCAGGCTTCTGCTAAAAAGCTGAACATGAAGAGGAAATTCATCTTTCAGCATGACAACGACCCAAAGCATACATCCAAATCAACAAAGGAATGGCTTCACCAGAAGATGAAAGTTTTGGAATGGCCCAGCCAGAGCCCAGACCTGAATCCGATCGGAAATCTGTGGGGTGATCAGAAGAGGGCTGTGCACAGGAGATGTCCTCGCAATCTGACAGATTTGGAGTGTTTTTGCAAGGAAGAGCGGGCAAATATTGCCGAGTCACGATGTGCCATGCCGATAGACACATACCCAAAAGGACTGAGTGCTGGAATCAAAGCAAAAGGTGCTTCAATAAAATATTAGTTTAAGGGTGTGCACACTTATGCAACCATATTGTTTTAGATTTTTATTTTTACTTCCCTCCACCTAAAAGATTTCAGTTTGTTGTTCATTCGAGTTGTACAGTTTATAGATCACATTAAAAGGTGGAAAAAGTTCTGAATCTATTTACATTTGTCTAATTTTTTTACATCACAGAAACCTGACATTTTAACAAGTGTGTGTAGACATTTTATATTCACTGTATTCTTGCAAGGACAGCTCACACCAGATGCTATTTGCTAACACAAGACAAATGCAGATGTGGAAATCCATTATTTCAAACAGAGCCTGTTCAAATCACTGTGTAGTATACTGCAATGTTTAAAAAAAAATTAATGATGTATTATGAGTGCGAAGACCAGCTGTTTGACCTTTAGGTTAATTTAAAAGGAGTCTATAAAAATGCAACAAGAGGGATATTACTGCAAACAATCTGGTGTAACCCTCATTTCACTTAAACTGAATACAGCTGTCAGTTTACAGTGAATAGTTACCATTACTTAGTTGACACATGATATCAAAACTGAAAAACAAATGAAAGTTTCAAATTGTGATCTTAAAGAACTTCAGCTTGATTTTTTTTTTAAAGTCAGCAGTTACACTGTATCTGCTTACTTAAAGGGAAAAAAAAAAAACTTAAAAAAAAAAAAAAAAAACCACACAGGTACTTACCAGTGCCTGTGGTCCAGCGCTGCGTTCCTGCAGCCAGGGGGTTCTTACTACTGCAGGTGCCCGGTGCTGCTATCTTGGATATGGGAGCCAGCTGTGGATTCTCGAGGAACCACAGCCTGCTTGCCACTGCGCATGTTCAAGCACACACATTGCTTTGTGAATGGTCCTGCAGTCTCCTGTGAATTATAAACTGTCCCAGAAGGTTGTGAAAAGAGGAAACATTGACTGCTAAAGAGAACTTCAAATAGCCAATCCAGCTAGAACTATTATTTTGGTAAATTCACATGGCACTCCGGAAGTCCAGGAGCTTAAAAGTAACCTGCAATGAAAAACATGTGGAGACTACCATTTGAAAAAGTTGGTTGCCTGGCTGCATCACACTGGTTTCCATTCATTCTAAGTCACTGACCCTGGACAAGTATGCAGGAGTTTTGACATCACACCAACGTCACCTCCTGTATACTCCAAAGACATCACAGACCAGAGGCGTACAAGCACTTTCATCAGCACATAAGGAATGACAGCCTCCAAAGTTTCAAGGTTGGCACACTTACTGGACACTTATGAGTAAGACTCACACTCTCCCTGATTCCTAATTTAATTTATAATATACAGATTGCAAAAGAAGGAACAGTCAGATTCATTCATTTCACTAGTTTGAGAAGATTTCTAAGGTTAGTAAGATCCATGGTGGGGATCTCACTGATGAAATTCTCAGCAGCCATAAGGGTGGGTGCGTGTGTGTGTGTGTGTGTCAACCAAACCCCATATATAGGATCACTTAACAGCGGACTGACCCTTTAAACAATTTAGTACAAATAGTTCATGGGATAGCAGGCACATATCTGAAATACATGAAGCAGAAAATACCTTTCATAGTAACATTTACACCAGATGCCAAGAATAGCCCTCCAAAGCGGTTGTTAAATATCTGATTGCCTTCAAGGGTCGCAGTAGCGTGGTTTGTAATTTCAATACCTTCAAGGAAACAAAAACATTTCAGGTAAATTGTAAGCAAAAACGTTTTTCCTAATGTGAATCTGCTACAAACCTGTACAATTCAAACCAAGCATATAATAAGGAAGAAAAAAAAAAAAGGCAAAACCAGAATTGACAATGGAATTTGGCTCCAAATCTCACCTGTAGAAGTTGAGTTTGTTCCTCTTTCACCTATTGGTCAGTGAGGCCACTAATGATATTTAAGAACGCCATTAGGGCTTGTTCACTCGTGTGTTAATCATTCACATGCCCAGCCTATAGCATTTATGATGTGTTTATGACACGTTTTCATTGTGTTTATGAAGCGTTGATAAAGCTTCAAGAATGCTTGATAAATGCCCATGAAAGTGCTGCTTTTCTAGTGGGGAGTGCTTAAAGGGGAAGTGATGTAGAGGAAGTAACCTACTTTGGGGCGTGGTTAGGTTGTGGTGTGATAGACATTTGTGAGTTCTCTACAAGATGGATTCATATACTTTGAACTCTGACACTTTGCTTGGTTCAGCCCAGCTTTGTAGAAACAAAAAGCTTTGCCACTGGCCACAATGCTCAATGCCTCTGCTCCTACCTGGCACTGTCAGTATTGCTGGCTGATTTAATCTTTTGCCCGCACACAGAAGCAGATTGTGTTACCACCCAGCTGCTCTGTACAGAGAACTAGGACAGAGCAGCTCCAGTCACTTCCTATCATTTCCCAGTGCATTCTGAGCCTCCACTGTCTCCCCAACTGCCCAGTTAACACTATATAAATGCTTCACCAACAGGTCAGAAATGTTATAGTTGCTGTTAATGTGCAGTTACAGAGCATTACCACTGGAGGCAGTAGAGGCGGTTTACATGCATCGAAACTTCATGAAATCAACATGCTGCTTAATTTTTAACACAACGCTACCACTCCTGAATGAACAGCACTGTGTGGTGCCACTGTAATATTCAAGACAGCTTATGAGGCTTTAAAAATGCTGAATAAATGCCACATAAAACACAGGGTATTGACGAACGTGAGAACGAGCCCTTCAAGGAGACTTGGGATGAGGGAGGGGCAGTGGACAAGCTGAAAAAAAAGTTTTGACTTGCCTATAATTAAAGCAACTATATCTCTGGATCTTTAAACCCTTTTATATGCAGTTTGCACTTTAAAGCGGAGCTCCACCCAAAAGGGGAAGTTCCACTATAAGGACTGCTCCCCATTAAGGATTGGCACCTTGGGGGGCGGGGGGGGAACGGGTACCCGAATTAGACAAGTACCCGCTCCCACTTCCGTTCCGATCACCTAGGTGATCGGAAGCATAAGGAGTCCTCCCTCCCTGTAGTCTTTTGGGACATGTGACAGGTCCCAGAAGACTATAGGGACCATTCATGAAGCACAGCGTTACTCGCGCATGCGCAGTGGGCACCCGGCTGTGAAGCCGCAAGCTGTCACAGCCGGGTGCCCACACTGAAGATGCCGGCCTCCTGGAATACAGGACGGCTGGTGAAATGGGCTGCAGGGGACACACCATGGGACCGAGGGACAGGTAAGTGGCTGTTTTTTAAAAGTCAGCAGCTACAGTTTTTGTAGCTGCGGACTTATTTGACAGGGTGAGTGGAACTCCACTTTAAGGTATTCCATAAACAAGTAAGTTTTAGGATATTGACAGGATTACTTTAACCTTATGCAGACTTCTTGCTCCAAAACATTCAGTGTAATATTTCCACATTCAAAGTGCCCTGAGTGCCAAGGAACTGGAAAGTCAGATATTGTAGTAAAAAAACAAAAAAGTAACTGAAGGGATCCTAACACCACTTTCTCAGAAGATCAAAAGAATTGGATCCTTTTCTTTGCCCATAAGGCTTCACTATGTATCAGATACCAAACTTTTGGCATGCTGGTACTGCACCCCATCCAATTTGGCATCAATGTTCCCCAGACACAGCCTGTTGTGCTTGTGATAGGACACCCAGGCTGGCACACTAATTCACATTTTCTGGGATTTCCAAAGATCCACCCCTTTTGACAACAGGTCCTACAGATTGTATGCTTTACACAAGATTACAGACGTCTGTCTTTTGGACAACCCAGCTGCAGTTCTCCTCACCTACAATGTCCAGCAAGAAGTACCGCAAACCGTTGCTGAAACATCTGAACGCTACTAGGGCATGTATCCCAGAATGGGGAGACAACAATCTCCAACTATCATGTCACCACGGTTTGCCATTTTTACATTCATGTCCTAGATTGTAAACTCCAAGGAGCAGGGCCCTCGAACCCCTCCTGTATTTTATTATATTGTTATTGTTCTGTCTCATGTATTGTCTCCCATTGTAATGTACAGCGCTGAGCGAATTGTTGGCACTATATAAAAATGCTGTGTAATAATAATAATGTCTGTATGCATATCGTATGTTTCTACTGATGGACATCATCAAAAATGACATGCCATGTCAGACACTTTTTCGGTCGCATACCTCTAAATAGGAAATAAAAAAACAAAACAAAACTGGATTTTAAACTTTCAGTTACAATAAGATTGAGGTGGGAGCAGGTCTGTGTTGTAATGTAGGTGTTCTCCAAAAACACGATGCCACACTATGCACCCGTTGCACTGCCAACCATATTTATTGGCGCCCCAGCACACTTAGGTGTTGAAGTGTGTTATAAAGCAATACAATGTGCTGCATTACAAAGGATTCGGTGTGGTTGGGCCACACTGTGGTACATTCGCAGTCCATTTAAAATTAATGTGCTGCCCTTATGTAATGCAGGTTAATATTCCTATGTACAGTGAAGGAAAAAAGTATTAGATCCCCTGCCGATTTTGATTGTTTGCTCACTCACAAAGAAATGACTTGGAGAGGATCTGCCAAGAGGAGTGGGCCAAAATCCCTCCTGAGATGTGTGCAAACCTGGTGGCCAACTACAGGAAACAAACTACCTCTGATTGCCAACAAGGGATTTGCCACCAAGTACTAAGTCATGTTTTGTGAAGGGGATCAAATACTTATTTCCCTCATGAACATGCAGATCAGTCATTTGTTAGACATGTATTTCTTTTGAATTTTTTGATCCATCGCATCAGCACTATTCTGACAGAAATATAACACAAATCACCAACCTGCAGCAAAACCATCAAATATTCGGTTTTTCCTTAAGACAGGGTGACTGTTAGTGCTGATGAGCACTCCAGCTTGAGCGTTCCTGAAGATGTCATTTTCTTCCAGCAACCCTATCAGAGAGGAATTGTTAGAAAAGTACATGATGATGTCTTTACCCGACTGACATAATGACAGCACTGCAGGAAAATGAACAGACTCACATCATTCATAACATATTACTATACACTGCTGGTTATGTTTTTACTGTAGAGATTATTGAATCTAAACTGCAAGAAGAAATTTCATTAAAAGGAAAGATTTTACAGGAGGCAATTTAACAGGAAAGCAAAAGACAATACATGAAATTTTTAATTCAGATTTGTCACCAAAAAAAAAACACTCGTATCACATTTCACAAAAAAAAAAAAAGTTGCTCACTTTCCAGTGTCTTATACTTTTAGATTTTTACACAGAATTTGCTTGAGTTAACTCACAATTCTGTTTACCCACAAACATGACTTCTGCTGAGATTATGTAACTGTGTATTGCAGAAGATCTATAACAAGAATACAAAGGACCTAAGGAATGACCACCTACTTAAGAGGTTTCACATATCAAAAGATCTCCCACAGTACCCAGCAAAAAAAAAAAAAAAAAAAAAAAACACACCAAAATTTTATATATCAAAAGTCTACACACCCTTGTTAAAATGTGAGGTTTCTGTGATGTAAAAAACGAGACAAAGATAAAATCATTTCAAAACGTTTTCCACCTTTAATGTGACCTATAAACTGTACAACTCAATTGAAAAACAAATTTAAATCTTTTATGGGGGAGGGGCGGGGAGTAAACATAAAAAACTTAAATAATGCGTTTGCTTAAGTGTGCACACCCTCTTGTAACTGGGGATGTACAGTCGTGTTCAAAATAATAGCAGTGTGTTGAAAAAAGTGAATAAAGCTCCAAATCCTTCCAATAGCTTTTATTTCCATACACACACAAATGCATTGGGAACACTACACATGCTATTCAAAATCAAAACAGGAAGAAAAATACATCAAATTTGTGTCGTTCCTCTAAAAGAACTGAAGAAAAGTGAATATTAGACTGTGTAAAGAAGAATACAAACACTGCTATTTTTTTGAAAACTCAAACATTCACTATATAAACAAATGTTTGAAGATTTTGCTTTCCTTTGAATCACTTAATTGCCGTATTTTTCGCTCCATAAGACACACTTTTTCCCCCCCAAAAAAGGGTGGAAAATGTCAGTGTGTCTTATGGAGCGAATGTAAAGCGGCCAGGCCGGTATTTCTGCCGCCACCATGTCAGAATATCGGGCCGGCCGCTCAGCTCTTCTCTCCTGCAGGGCCTTACCTGTTCCTCGCTCCAGCGCTGCAGTCTTCCTGCGGCGGCTTCTGTGACAGCCGGGTGCTCACTGCACATGCACGAGAAGCGTCTTCTGGGACACGACTGGTCCCAGAAGGCTCCAGGCCATTCACAAAGCGCAGCGCTTCTCGCACATACGCAGTGGGCACCCAGCTGTCACAGAAGCCGCCGCAGGAAGACTGCAGCGCTGGAGCGAGGAACAGGTAAGGCCCTGCAGGAGAGAAGATCTTGATCAGGTTAGTGATGTCTGACTGCTATTATTTTGAACACAACTATATATATATATATATATAAAATGATTCTGTGCACCCGTCGCCCTGTAGCAGTATTTCTGCTAAAGGGCGGCAGGACAGAGGTTAAAGTTGAAAAAATTCTGAAATGATTTATCGTTCTCATTTTTTTTAAATCACAGAAACCTGACATTTTAACAGGGGCGTGTAGACTTTTTATATCCACAGTATGTATATATTATATAGTTTAGGGGTCTATATACATCAGGGAAATAAGTTACGATGTGTTAAGTATTGTGTTAAGGAAGCCCAATGATTTGAATAGGCTGCTCAATGAACCACAACCGATCAAAAATCAACCCAGGTGTGTTGGGGTGCTATTAAGAATGAATTGCAACGTAACTGTCGTTACTGTAACACAATGCTGTGAATGGGCCCCTCTCAAAAGGAGACCATTGGCAATAAAATCTCACAAAATGTACATTTGAACAAGGAAGGGAAATTTCCTCTCTATTTAATGGAGACAGGCAGACAGAAGGAAGAACAATGTCCTGGTAGAAGGAAAAGGTCGAAATCACCTTAGGAAGGGAACGACTCTGCCATCACCCATAAAGAACCTTTTAAGTCTTACACAATAACAGTGGTATTGATGTGCAAAAAGTAAAGAAACTGTGAGTGAGAGTGGAAAGGGAGATATCCCTAACAGGTGAAAAAGTGGTTTCTAAGGAGCCTCAGAATCAGGTTCAGATCCCACAGAATCACAGGTGGTTGTACAGGAGCGACCACATGAGACAATCTGTACTAATGTCTTGACCCGTGAATGGGAGGCTAGCGGTCTTTGGAACAAATTATCTGTCCCTCGATAGTTCTCAGGAACTCCGTTCCTATGCTATAACAGTGTGGGAATTACCAAATAAGAGAGAACCTCGTCTCCAAAAATTGGGCTTCAACAAACTACAATATTAAAGGCAGCGACCGAAGCAGGGTAGACCAGACCTTAAGAGAGGAGATCTGGTTGATCTGGATGAGGCCATGGGGTCTGCAAAAATCTGATCATGTCGAAATACCACCAGTATTAGTGAAATGCTCTTCATCTCAGTCCTATGAAGTAGATGAGGGCACTTTTTTTTTTTTTTTTTTTTTTTAGATGGTTTATGAATAAACTAAATACTCGGACACTCATAACCAGGAAATATAGAGATTTATAAAACGTAGATTAAGCTGTACTGATCCCACAAAGCTGCTTTCGCTAGAGGTTCTGTGCACCCGAGGACAAACCTGTCCAGTCTGTTGATGAACCTGAAAACTAGGACCATAATCGCCGGTTTCCACCTGTGACACAGATCCTAAACACTTCCGGGTGTAGAGACCATTCTCCAGGTCCAGGCTATGCTGGCTTAGGTAGTCCGTCAACTGTCTACACCTGGGATGTGAACAGTAGGCCCATGCTGAAAAGTGACATTCTGAACAGGACAGTCCTTTCTACCTCTCGTTGCCACAGACTTTTGAATCTTCATTGAGGATTAATGTATACCATTGCTACGGCATTTTTCAACTATATCACGGTTGGATGACCCTCCTGTGGGGGTGTCCAGTGTTGCAGGGACAGACAAATTGCTTGGAGCTCCAGAATGTTAATCAGGTGGTGAAATTTCCCTGTACTAATGTGGCATCTAGTACTCCTTGCCACCCTTTCAGGTTGGCATCCATTGTCAAGATTTTCCAAGACAAAAAAGGCAAGATTCCCGAGCCACCATACCAGATATAATCTGGTCTTTGGTGTCTGATGCATCAGTTTGTCTAGAAACTGAACCGATTTTTCTCATGACGTCAGAATGCAGAGTTGTAGGAGACAAGAGTAGATCTGAGCAAATGTTACTATCATGACCAAAGCATCACAAAGAACAGCATAAATGTAGAGTTCAAAATCTGGAAGTGTAGAATTAGAGTTTTTAGAGTTTTCTTATCGAAGAAAAAACTCTAGCTTGAGTTATGTCTAGGATGAGATTCAGAGACTCCATGTGTCGGCTCCAGCGATGACTTCTGAAGGCTAAGAATCCAACTGAACCTTTTTAAGGACTGAACTGTCCACACTGTTGGTCAGTAATTGCTCTGTTCCCTCAGTAGGAGATTGTCCAGATATCCTACGAGAATACATTTTGATGAACACTTGCAGTGCACAAGACAGGACAAATAGGAGTACTAAAACTGGTCGTGTGTGCTCACAGAAAAACTTAGTTTTGATGTGCTGGAAAAATGAGGACACAAAATTACGCCTTCTTGATGTCCACAGAGGCTAGAAAGTCTCCCTGATGGAGGAAGACTATGACAGATCTGGTGGATGCCAAATAAAAAAAATGTTGGTACTCGAATGAAAACATTTAAAGCCTTCACATACAAGATGAAGCAAATACACCCTTTTGGTTTTGGAACAGTGATTATTGGAACAAAATCAGTAACTCCTTAGCACCAGATCTACAATAGCCACATGGAAATCTGCTAGCCTGTGCAGGAACACAGGTGGGTTGGATAGCATAAACCTAGAAGAGGGCAGAGATCAGACTGCTAATGTAAAGTCCTGAATATGACTTCTCTGATCCAGGAATCTGAGATGCTTTCTGACCAGTTGTTCGCAAAGGCCATGAGCTATCCCTCCACCCTTTGGAAAGTTGGGCATCCCATCATGCTGAAGAGGACTTGTCTGAAGACTTTGCATCAGAGGGATTGCAAATGGGTTCTTGGCTTGGAAGGCTGGAACTAATGAAAGGAACCGTTCTTGGCTTCAGATGCGTTAGAAGTCTTTCGAGTTTGTGGCTTAGGCTTCTTTTGCTGGGGAAAATAATTACTCTTACTCCTGGTGACATCCTTCATGAGGGTGTCCATAGATTATCCAAAAAGACAAGTGTAATTCAGAAGACATGTGTAACAATGAATTAATGGGGATAAGGTGGGGGATGGAAAAACTAAAAAGTCTCAAGATCCTTGTCGGAAGGATTTACTGGTACCGCACCCCTTATTTGTAAGACACTGCAAATGAAAACCCTAACTAAAAATGTGTGTAACAATTACTTTTTACTTTGCTGTTCAGCAGATCAACATTGCAAACAAAGATTTCTCCGTGTATTCACTGACAAGGGACTAATTCAGCAAATAAAACAGACAATGCCAACTAATTTATAAAGGCAATAGTGTAGAGACATAGTAGGCACAAGTTCTAAGCACTCTACAAGTACAGATTTTTATAGGCCTCCTTTTACCAGAAAATAGCCCATGTAATACTGGGCAGCTTTGTAATACGTTCATTAATTATCCTGTTATACTTGTAGGCCAAATTATGTTCCCCAGAATCCTGGCTGAAAAAATCCCAATCAGCGATCATTTCCTTCCTCATTGCTAGGACACAAAAAAAATTAGTTTTCGCTTTTGTAGTGTTAAAGAGTGAGTGTCCAATGATTGTGTCCTAGCAATGTTCCAATCCTGCAATATAAAACAAAAGACACTCACTGCTCACGAGATTACAAATCATTTCAAAAACAAGATTGATGCAATTCGTAGGGGCATCACCACTGCAACAGACATCTATCCCACTTAGCATACCTTATACTAAACCTCCCTCAACACTTTCCCCTTTTGACCTTGCTACTACCGAAGAAGAGGTCGCTAAGGTTTTCTCAGAAGCCCATCTCACTACCTGCCCCCTGGATCCTGTCCCCCCACAACTACTACGGTCACCCTCTTCTTCCATCCTATGCTCCCTCACATCTTCAATCTTTCCCTCTCTACTGGTGCCTTCCCCTCCCCTCTAAATCATGCGCACATCACTCCCATACTTAAAAAGCCCTCCCTTGACCCCACCAACATGAACTTCTTAAGACCCATCTCCCTGCTGCCATTTACCTCTAAACTCCTAGAACGCTTAGTCTACAATCGCCTGAGCTCCCACCTCACCGACAACAACCTTCTTGACCCTTTACAGTCTGGCTTTCGCTCTCTACACTCCACTGAAACTGCCCTACTAAAACTCACTAATGATCTACTAACTGCTAAAACCAATGGCCACTACTCCGTACTCTTACTATTTGACCTCTCTGTGGCTTTTGATATGGGTGACCATCCCCTCCTCCTCAAAAAACTCCACTCTCTTGGCCTTAGAGACTCTGCTCTCTCCTGATTCTCCTCCTACCTATCGCAGCGCTCCTTCAGTGTTACCTATAACGCTGCCACCTCCTCTTCACTCCCTCTTTCTGTAGGGGTCCCTCAAGGTTCTGTCCTTGGACCCCTTCTCTTCTCCATCTACACCTCCTCCCTTGGTCACTTGATAAACTCCCAGGGCTTTAAGTACCATCTCTATGCTGATGACACACAAATCTATCTTTCTACCCCTCACCTCACCCCTTCAGTCTCCTCCTCACCTCATCAGTCTCCTCTCGCATTACTAACCTACTAAGTGACATATCGGCATGGATGTCACTCCATTTCCTCAAACTCAATCTTTCCAAAACTGAGCTCTTAGTATTCCCCCAGCCCGTGCCCCCTCCCCTGACTTCTCCATCAAGATCAATAACACAACCATCAGTCCCTCCCCTCATGCCAGGGTACTAGGTGTAATCCTAGACTCCCATCTGTCCTTTCAGCCCCAAATCCAATCACTGTCCCAATCTTGTAGACTTCCCCTCCGCAACATCTCCAAGATACGACCATTCCTAACCTTGGAAACCACTAAGCAACTTATTCACTCCCTTGTTATAGCTCGCCTTGACTATTGTAACTCCCTCCTCATTGGCCTATCTAATCGCAGGCTATCCCCTCTTCAGTCTATCATGAACGCTGCTGCCAGACTCATCCACCTTAGTAACCGTTCTGTATCTGCCACCCCTCTCTGCCAATCCCTCCACTGGCTTCCCATTGCCCAACGGATAAAATTCAAAACACTAACAATAACATATAAAGAAATTTATAACTCTGCCCCAAATTACATCACCGATCTTGTCTCTAAATATCACTCAAACCATATTCTCCGCTCCTCGCAAGATCTCCTACTCTCTAGCTCCCTTGTCTCCTCCTCCCGTCTCCAGGACTTCTCCAGAGCTTCCCCCATCCTCTGGAACTCTCTACCCTAATTTAGACTATCGCCTACTCTGCTCACTTTTAGGCGATCTCTGAAAACCTCTCTCTTCAAGGAAGCCTATCCTGCCCTCAGCTAATACTGGAATCTTCTACTCTTTCAACCAGTCCATCCCCCACAGTTACTATCGTTTGTACCACTAGCCCCTCCCTCCTAGATTGTAAGCTCCAAGGAGCAGGACCCTCAAATCCCTCTTGTATTGAACTGTATTGTTGCTGTATTGTCTCCCGTTATATTGTAAAGCGCTGAGCAAACCGTTGGCGCTATATAAATCCTGTATAATAATAATGCAAAAATAGAGTATAAATTCAGATAAATAGAAGACCTTAAAATGGTGTACAATCTAGAAGGAAAGCAGGTACTGTATTACACAGTTTAGTCATTTTATTATGGTTGCAGCTTCTCTTAAACCAGGATCTTGAAAAACTTTGTGCAAACAAAATGGAGAGGGTGCCACCATCTAAGTGTAGCTTTACTAATGAATCAATATAAGTATCTGAAATAAATATATAATAAAAGCATGCAGGGCCGCTGTTAGAAATCATGGGGCCCTGTACAGCCTACCTGACGGGGCCCCTTTGACCCCATCCTCGAGAATAGGTGCAGGAACTATCATGCCCCCATTGCATCACTGGCCATCAATATCATCCACAATACCACCTCCACCCCTCCTCCAGTGTGCTGCGCACAGAGTGCAAGCTCCAGGCGTGCGCTGCGCACAGAGTGCAGGGTTCCCGAGTGCGCTGCGCGCAGGGTTCCCGAGTGCGCTGCGCGCAGGGTTCCCGAGTGCGCTGCGCGCAGGGTTCCCGAGTGCGCTGCGCGCAGGGTTCCCGAGTGCGCTGCGCGCAGGGTTCCAGAGTGCGCTGCGCGCAGGGTTCCAGAGTGCGCTGCGCGCAGGGTTCCAGAGTGCGCTGCGCGCAGGGTTCCAGAGTGCGCTGCGCGCAGAGTGCACTACGCATCGAGTGCAGGGTTCCAGAGTGCGCTGCGCACAGAGTGCACTACGCATCGAGTGCAGGGTTCCAGAGTGCGCTGCGCACAGAGTGCACTACGCATCGAGTGCAGGGTTCCAGAGTGCGCTACATACCGAGTGCAGGGTTCCAGAGTGTGCTACGCACTGAGTGCAGGGTTCAAGGCTGGAGCTTTGTGCATACCCCGTCCCCTCCTCCGTTGTATATGCAGGGAGAGCAGGGAGGGTTGAGTGCGCCGCTGGGAGAGGATTGCTGAAACTTATAATTGACAGCTGAGAGTAGTGAGCATCAATGCAAGTGGCCTTGCCGCAGGTCAAATTCTGGCTGTAGCTACTGTATTATGATTAAAAATTTGAAGTTGCTGGCTGGTTAGGCCCCCTCGTCACAGTGAAGGGCCCGGGCCCCCTACAGGAGGGCCGGAGGTACCCCCTTGTCAGTGGCCCTGAAACCATGTATGCACGTACTGCAGGGTTTGGGAAGGACGCCATGGATAATAATCAATCCAAGTGATTATCTCTTAGTCTTCGCTGGATGGAGCCAGGGAACCCTGAAAGGAACAAAGTTGGTATAGCAGAGTTCTGTAGTGAACTCCACTATTCTGGTTATTTTCCTTTCCTGTTCCTTGTTTCCATTCAGCTGCACCTGAGGGACAGTGTTCACTTGGAGAAATATACATGCTGGCTTTCCAGATCCTTGCAGTGAGTGCATATATGCTTTTATTATATTAATAAACCTACACTTAGACAGTGACACCCTCTCCTTTTTAGTTATGTTCTGAAATTGTCCCTTAGATTAAAATGTAAGCGAATGCCTACACTATACACCAGTAGGAGCATGCTATATGAACCCTACCATCAGAACATTGAGCACTGCCTTCGACAGCTTGAGTGGGAGATGCTATTAACACCATGCATTTCAAGGAAAGTAGGAACAACTTACCCCTGCCTCCATTAAATATACAGATCCCTCCATCCCTCCCATCATGGATTTTATTTCGCCTTAACGTCGGGTTGCTGTCTGTTTTTATCCAAACACCAGCCATTGCATTGTCAAAAATCTCATTGTCTTCAATGAAGCCAAGCCCTGTCAACAGAGGATACCAACATTGTTAGTACATGTATGTAAATATTCAGTTACAGAAGCAATTTATACCGAAATTACTTACCAGAATTATAAACAAGGATTCCACCATTCTGACCTCCCCAGATTTTGTTTCGTCTAATTTTAGGATTGCTTCCAGTCCTAGATGAAGAAAACGGTGAAGAGTTAAATAAATGTGATACAAAGAAAATAATGTAAGGAAGGACATTTAAATAAAATGTAATCATCTATTTCAGTGCGGTCTGTAAGTTAACTTCTTGTTCTGCAAATACTGCAAATTTATAACAGATCTCAGCTCCACCAGTTCCAGGCAAACAACTTAAGGACATTTGCAGATACACCCCTTTACCTTTTCTCTCTGCTCCTGCAGTGTGGTGAAAGCTATAATGCAATCGGCAGTTCTGCCAGCTGAAAACTGCCTTCTTTTTCCTAATACAAGGTTTCTGCCTACAGAGCTTTATCAAAGAAAGCAATTATTCATCCCTTTGGATGTGCAGCATGCCTACGTTAGAACTCAATACGCCTGCAATGATGTACTAAGAACACGTATAACTAAAGTGATGCTGAAGACACCACCTTCCTAAAGCAAGGCTGCTGGTCTGTCCTCTTAGCATTTTCATTAAAATTTTACGGACCAATGTACAGTCACACTTAAACATATGCAAGTGTTTAATATGCATTTTTGAGGCCCTGTTCATGCAGTGCGGTGTTATGTATTTTACCGCACTGGATTAAGGTAGGTCACAACTAGAACATACAGAAAACAATTGTTTTCTATGTGTCTTGTTCACACTGCAATGCACCCTGGACGTGCAGTGCAATGAACAGCGGTAAAATGCATTTTATCAAGGCATACAGGGATCGCATCACCATGCAAACTGTGATGCTGTACAGTGACACAAATTGGGCACTTCAAACAAAGGGGAGGAATTTTTATATGGCATGTGTTAAATGGATGCCGTCTTCCCATACCTCGCTTGTTACAGGGGCCTCACTATAAGCCAGGTGATTTTTACCACCTCAATAACACCGTATGTATATCGACAACCTCATATTGAGGTGGTTATACTGGGATCATGGCTGAGGCTATAACCATGATCCAACTACAATTTTTTTTTAGGTGGCAATTCTCTCATGTAAAAAAAGATCCACTCAATCATTTAGTTGATGGAAGGGGGTTCAGAAGTTGTTCGGTTTCTGGGAAAATATTTCATACATCTTCTAACAATAATGAAGAACAGGAATCTCCAATATTGCCTATAAGGCTGGAAAAAGATGAAAGGAAGGATTGTGTTAGAGTTGCATTAGAAGAATATCTCATATTTATGAAGATCTTTGGGAAAGACTGGATTACGTCCATACTTCTGCACTGAGCAGAGAAAAGGGTCAGAGAATGAAGGGGACATTTGCAAATTTGAGTGGTTTATAATTTTGTGAAAATAGTCATGCACATGATCGGCATATTTATTTTGCTCATAAAAATCTCGTTCGCTAAAGAAATTATTTTCATTTAAAAATAAATTCCGGGCAGTCAGCCAAATTAGTCTCTGCCAGTGCTTATCTGTAAGAGCAGATCAAGCCGCCACACTGAACATGACACTGTATTCCAGTTCTGAGACTTACATTTTTAATGTCAGCTTCATGATACTTGCATACGTTTGGATAAGAAACCTCCACTCTTAATGTGTTTTGTTGAACTGGTCTCCCTCCAGATATGGAGCCAAAAGGGGCAAGTCTGGAAGTTTTACGAGTTTACAGTTTGGATTTCTTGTGTTAAACATTATCTCGGGACTTGAGTCATTGATATTTCTTAATTGGTGTCAATGGTTTACGTCATCTTTAAGTATTCTAAAGAAAATTATTGTATTTGAAATTATCTGTCCTGAGAATATGGTTACATTATCTGGGCATATATTTAAAAAAATAATAGTATGTTAGGTCTTATCCAGAGAGGTCACTCTAAATAAATAATGGTACAACCTGGCATCCTAATATTTAGCTTAATTAGCCACTTCCACGCCACCTACAGCAGAAATACTGCTATAGGGCAGCACAGGTGCGCAAAATCACGTATATATACACATGATTCTGCAGTCCCGAGTAGGGGGTGCGCGCGCCTTACCCGCTGCTGCCTCGGCTGTCAAACACCGGGTCCCCACCAGTGATTCCCTGCCAGCACCTGGCAATCGCCGAATATCACCGTCGGAGGAGAGACCTGTGTATAAACAACACGGATCTCTAACGTCAGCTCCTGCACATCGCTTTGTGTGGCTCTGCATAGCCTAGTAGAGCCATACAAACCAGTGTGCTTACAGCGCACACAATTAACCATTTGATCACCCCACATGTTAACCACTTCCTGCCCAGTGCCATTAGTAGTGTGTCAGTGCTTTTTATTAGCACTGATCACTGTATTGGTGTCACTGGGGATGTCAGTGACACAAAGTCAGTTCCCCCCAGTGTCAGAATGTCTGCAACAGTCCCAATACAAGTCAAAAAAAAAATCCAGTATACTGTATATAAAGCCATTTGCAAAAGCTATAACTTTCACGTACACCAATTCATTTATAAGTATTGGGATTTTTTTTTTTTTTTTTTTTTTTTTTTTTTTTTTTTTTTTTTAGCAAAAACATGTAGCAGAATACATTTTGGCCTAAATTTATGATGAAATTAGATTTTTTTTAATTTTTTTTTTACTGAACATGTTTAATAGCAAAAAGTAAAAATTGTTGTTTTTTTTTTTGTTTTTTTTAAATTGTTGTTCTTATTTTGTTTATGGCGCAAAAAATAAAAACCACAGAGGTGATCAATTACCACCAAAAGAAAACTCTATTTCTGGGGTAAAAAAGGACGTAAATTTCATTTGGGTGCAGCGTTGTATAACCACACAGTTGTCAGTTACAGTAGCGCAGCGCTTTATCGCAAAAAATGGCCTGGTCAGGAAGGGGGGGGGGGGGGGGGTAAATCCTCTGGAGGGCAAGTGGTTAACAACCACTTCCCAACCGCCTGCAATGTAAAGCTGACGGGCGGCTGCTATATACATACATAGAGTGGCTATAAAAAGGTAAAAAGTCTACACACCCCTGTTAAAACGTCAGGTTTCTGTGATTTAAAAAAAAATGAGAAAGATATATAATTTAAGAACTTTTTCCACCTTTAATGTGACCTATAAACTGTACAACTCAAGTGAAAAACAAACGGAAATCTTTTAGGGGGGAGTAAACAAAAAACTAAAATAATGTGGTTGCATAAGGGTGGGATGTAAGTGTGCTCAGAATTAAGCAATCACATACAAAATCATGTTAAATAGGAGTCAGTACACACCTACCATCATTTAAAGTGCCTCTGATTAACCCCAAAGTTCAGCTGTTCTAGTAGGTCTTTCCTGACATCTTCTTAGTTGTATCCTACAGCAAAAGCCATGGTCCACAGAGAGCTTCCAAAGCATCAGAGGGATCTCACTGGTAAAAGATATCAGTCAGGAGAAGGGTACAAAAGAATTTCCAAGGCATTTGATATACCATGGAACACCGTGAAGACAGTCATCATCAAGTGAAGAAAATATGGCGTAAAAGTGACATTACCAAGAACTAGACGTCCCCCGAAAATTGATGAAAAGACGAGAAGAAAACTGGTCTGGGAGGCTAACAAGAGGCCTACAGCAACATTAAAGGAGCTGCAGTAATATCTGGCAAGTACAGGCTGTGTGGTACATGTGACAATAATCTTCCGTATTCTTCATATGTCTGGGCTATGGGGTAGAGTGGCAAGACGGAATCCTTTTCTTACGAAGAAAAACATCCAAGACCGGCTAAATTTTGCAAAAAGACATCTGAAGTCTCCCAAAAGCATGTGGGAAAATGTGTTATGGTCTGATGGAACCAAGGTTGAATTTTTTGGCAATTATTCCAAAAGATATATTTGCCGCAAAGACAACACTGCACATCACCAAAAGAACACCATACCCACAGTGAAGTATGGTGGTGGCAGCATCATGCTTTGAAGTGGTTTTTCTTCAGGTGGAACTGGGGCCTTAGTCAAGGTAGAGGGAATTATGAACAGTTCCAAATACCAGTCAATATCAGCACAAAACCTTCAGGCTTCTGCTAGAAAGCTGAACATGAAGAGGAACTCCATCTTTCAGCATGACAACGACCCAAAGCATACATCCAAATCAACAAAGGAATGGCTTCACCAGAAGATGATTCCAAGTCTTGGAATGGCCCAGCCAGAGCCCAGACCTGAATCCGATCGAAAAACTGGGGTGATGTGAAGAGGGCTGTGCACAGGAGATGCCCTCGCAATCAGAGATTTTTTTTGCAAGGAAGAGCAGGCAAATATTGCCAAGTCAAGATGTACCATACTGCAGTGGCTCCTCCCTTTCCCTGTGACAGCGAGCCAGGGTTCCTCTCTCTGCAACTGCTGTCATTGTTTGAAAAAAGGGCAGCTGTGTGGGTGAAGCTGTGAATGAATGAAGTACATCTACCAACAGCCTTTGTGGCTGTCGGCTTGTAGTTCTCAATGAACTACAAGGGCACTGTTGAGCTCTCTAGGTAATTCATTGATTCTTCCTGTCGTGTAACTGCTTGCCCGTATGAGGTAAAAGCAGACGGCTTACAGTCTGCAGGAGCTCTGTACTGCGCCTGCAATCTGCTGGTTGTGGGTGCAATGCTTTCCAGGCTCCTACAAAAAAAAAAAATTGTAAAAGCATTTTTTTTTTTTTTGTAAATGTGAACCTATCTTTGAAACTAATTCAGCCTAAGCAAATTAAGTGAGTCAAACAGGGAGTCCAATTTTATAGGACAGGCAATGAAAGATGTGATTGTATTTTTTCAATCGCATAGTCAGTCGTAGAAAAGGTAAAATATAAAGAATCAGTAGAGGCAGAGTCATTTACTTCCTAGGGACACAGTTATGTCCAACAGGCTTTTGCAACAGTTGGAACCCTTTTATAGCCCATCTGATGAAGTTGCATACCCACCTTAGGCAAACATTAGAAAGGACTGGAACCTAATGGTGGTAAGGGATAGTATCAGCTGAGATTCCTTGGTTAATGGGAGTCTTCCCTGGTGCTACTGGGGAAGAGTCACCAGATGAAGGTACTAGCACGGACTACCCCAGGGCACTCACCCGTCAACCACAGAGGGTCCAATCTTTATCCATCATGGCTGGCTCTGCCACTAAGGGTGTTCAGGGGCTCAACTCCACCCCCAACCCTTCACCAGGAGATGACTGCCACGGACCTGTATAGCATTCTAATAGTCCACAAGCCAATATATCATTGCACAGGTTCCAGTGCTGACAAGCAAAATTACAGGACATCATCATGTCCTCCAAAGCAGGGTCCAGATACCATTTCTCTAAGAGATGAATGGATCCAGATAAAGCCAGTCTCCTGATCGCTGGTGGAACCGCTGAGAAGCTAGCTATTCTTGTGCAGAGAGCTGCACAGCTGTGACCATCACCTTCAGACACTAGCAAGCCTTGCCTAACAGGGAGGGCTTATACCTGGAAGAGACCCCCTGACTTGGTCCAAGCACCTGAAGGTCACCGAATGACCCTATTCGTAATGAATACAAAGACGATCTGTGTCCCATGATGTACGATAAAGAAATTTCCATTTTATCAACAAATTTAGCCTATTGCTTATTTATTTAGTAGAAATTGCTAACTGCCTACACACGTACTTTTCTCTTCCACAGCATATGTAATATTGGGCATCTTATTTTATTAGGTTGAGCTCTAAAAACAGGCCAGTAGTAGTCGTCACTGCAACAAATACAATAGAGGAATTGGTAAACAAGATTAACGACGCTTGCAGAACAGTCTTATAAAATTATATGAATCATAAGAATGTAGTCTTTCAAAGTGGAGCAGTGACCAAGTGCTGCTTTGAGTAGTATTGTCCTGTCATTCAGTCAGAATTGAGAGGCATGATGTCCTCCTCAGTGCTTAAAGGGAAACATAAGCTTGTAAAATGACTGCCATATTTGCAATTTGTATCAATGCTCATTACCAACAACGTTCAGAAAACAAAAATCTGTTTACATATTGCAAAAAACACTGTTTGTCATCTCAATGACAGACGTCCTTCGAATCGATTATTCCTGCCCCAGACTATAAAACGGGTATCTCTTCTGCTACCTTTTCTGCCTGTTATTTGTTAAAAACTAACTATGGTCTCTAATGTGTGCTGCCCAGGATCTGAAAGAGGAATGGTTGACCGACAGTGTTCCGCTCAGCAGCCTGGTCGAGTGCGCACAATCATCACTTACGGACTGGGCTAATATTTTTGCAACTGCTCTAGGGGGACAGGAAAGTAAGGTGGGTTCTGCATATAATCACTTTTTAGTCATTGGTAGTAAACAGGTTTGCTTTAAGTGACACTGTCGCTAAACTAACACAGTGAACAGATGTCCACTTACCTCTCCTGCTGCCAAATGCTACTCTACCCAAGACATACCACCACATGAAGTCACTTCTGGGAGAGAAATATTTGAAAATCACTTCAGAAACCCATCCTTTTGAAAGTGTTAATCTCCTGGTTATCTATTGCATTCCGAGATTTCACCTGATGACCCCTACATCACTACAGGATACAGTATGGACATAGAGACTAGGAGATAAACACTCCCAGAAGAGTTGGTTTCTGAAGGGATTTCAGGTGACTACTTCTCTTCAAACAGAGCAACATTTGACGGCGGGTCAGGTGAGCATCTACTTTATTCTTTGCAAGTAGATTTTTTTTTATCCATGGTTTCAGTTTAACGACAGTGCGACTTCAAGTTCCAACTCCCTCATTTCTTTCTGGATGGAGCAAAGTTCCAGACACAACTAGACACAATGTGGAAATAAGTAAAGGTAAAGCCTGAAATGATATCAGACCTCATTACTCGAGTAGATGATGGTTTGTGAGTTCAGCACCTGCTAGCATAAAATGTAAAGATAAGAATTTCTACCTACACAGGAAATTTCCTTACCGTATTTGAACCCCAGAATACATGTGATTATAGATGTCATTATCTTCTAGTACTCCATGTCCATTGTCATAGAAGTATACACCGACCTAGGAGAGAATTTGTATTTTGTTACAAACGTGAACAGTATTCCTGACTGGCCGTATATTCTGTTTACATGCATCATGTATAGAAAAGCTACCAGCCTCAAAAATTACGACAGGAGAGGCTGTTAGCTACGCAAGTCTAGTCTGGTGAGTATTTGCAGATCTGGAGCTGCTTAAATGTAGGCAACGGCCGAATCAATCACGTGATCTCAACCCCAATCTTATGCAGTCTTGAAGCATAGAGAGTACTTTCTATAAGGGCCAGCTCACACCACAGAAACGCAGTCCAGATGGGTGCCCGTTGCTTTTCTGCATCCGCGTTTTTTGACACGCTCCATCTTTTTTTCATCACCTTAAGGACTTGTGCATTCCAATGCATTTTTGGTGGGTTCTTGATGCGTTATACCGGGTTCCAGTACAGTAAAAATGCAGCAGGTTCTACTTTTTTTTTCCCTGGAACACCGTCTAAGGGCCAGTTTACGCCACACAGTCCAGTGCGTTCTTTTTCTGCATCAAAAAGGCATGGATACTGTGTTATTTGGTTTCCAATGGCATAATTAACACCACCACTGCTGTCAGTTCCAAAAACTAAAAGTAGAACGTGCTGCATTTTTTTTCTGCACTGAACTTTACCAGAACACAGTAAAACACATTGAAAACACACATCTATATAAGGTGGCTATACAAAAAAAAAAAAAGGAGGGGAAAGAATGCACTGGAAAGCATCAATAACAGCATTACAGAAACCCATCTGGACTGCGTTTCTACAGGGTAAAACTGGCCCCTAAGAGTTGGTTCAAACCATCGAAATGAAGCTCAAATGTGTTTCTGCATGTGCTTTGAAGATGCATTTCTGATGAGTTCCAGTGCATTTTTCCCCCCCTTTTTTTCTTCACCTTAAATAAGAACATGTGCATTGTGCTGTGTTTTTTATGTGAAGCCCTTTTTTTACCATTATCCAGCACAGTTCAGTGTAGAAAAAATTATTTTTTTCTGGAACTGAAACACACTAGAACTGACAGCATAGGAGTGAAATATGCCATTGGAAACCATATAACCTACTATCCATGCGGTTTTTTATGCAGAAAGAAAAATAAAAACCACACTGGACTGCATGTGGTGTGAAACCGGCCCTCAGAGCAGAAACCCTCTGTACAAAAAAAAAAAAAAAAAAAAAATGATGTTCTAGAACAGCAGGTCATTAGTATTAGTGGTTTATGGGAAGGATCTGGGGCTATTTTTTTTCATAGTGGGGGGGCCGCGACCGTGACCCCCCCCCCCCACAAAAAAAAAAAAAAAAAAGAAAAAAAACCAGACATGAATACACCACTGACGTACATTTTTTTTTTCACCAATTAGAACAATTCCTAGATCAAACTGTCAGTACAGACTGTAATAGAACAGTGTCACCATGGAACCTATCAATAACACAGAAGGATTTTACCCCATACCTGCTTTCCGCTGTGTATCCTGTTCCTCCGTAACACTGGAGTACTTCCTGTTGTCACCCAAACTCCAGCTAATGTGTTACTATAGACCTCATTTTCTTCAATTACTCCCTGTCCCTTCTCATGCTGGAAATAAAAGATAGCATTACATAGAAATGTAGGCGTGGTTTTTTTTAATGGAGAGAAACACATTTTAACATATTCTATGAAAATTCTCTATTGCAGTACAATTCCCTGATTTATAGTGGCTAAAGTGATCATGTTACTAAACAATGCCCTGGCTGGAGGCCTGCGTGTTAAAACAGTGCCTCTATGTCAACTGTGGCAGCAGCATGTATACCACACTTCCGCACGTATAGAATACCTGTTCCCCAATCGTATGCTGTGGTTTTTCCCCATATGCTTGTGCACCACTACAGGACGTAGGAGTCGGAGGATGGTTAGGAGTCAGAGTTTGGGGAATGGGAGTGCCCCACAGCAAGTGAGGTAACAGGCATTCAACACAATCAAATGGTTACAAATTGGGTCAAGGACAAAGGTGACATCTTTACCGATCAGGAAGCCACAAAAGTATAGATACTCGTTTTATTACAGCCTAGGCGACGTGTATTGTTGACTCCAAGTACTGTGAACCAGGGTTTGCTTAGTTTATAGATGTTGTATATTCAGCATACCCAAACTGTCACCAGGTGAATGCAACTTTAAGCTGTGAAACTAGGCCTACGTAAACCAGGGACCACTTGTAGTGTTTTGGGTCTTCTAAACTTTATCTCTTTCCTGACTTCTTGAAATGGGTAAACATACAGTTAAGTCCATATATATTTGACACGGACACAATTTTAGTTTTTGTCAGGTATTTACCAAAACATATTCAAGCTATATAGTTATATAAGGGATATGGGCTGAAAGCGCACACTCGCAGGTTTAATTTGAGGGTATGTACATCCAAATTGGAGGAAGGGTTTAGGAATTACAGCTCTTAAGAGTAGCCATCCCCCCTTTTTCAAGGGACCAATTGAATCAAAAGCGGTTTCATGGCCAGGTGTGGGCTACTCCCTCATTATTTCTTTATCAATTAAGCAGGTAAAAAGTCTGGAGGTGATTCTAAGTGTGTTATTTGCATTTGGAATCTATTGCTGTGAACCTACATCGTGTTCAAAGGAGCTGTCCATGCAAATGAAACAGGCCATTGTAAGGCTTCAAAAACAAAACAAATCCATCAGAGAGATGGCAGCAACATTAGGAGTGGCCAAATCAACAGTTTGGTACATTCTGAGGAAAGAAGAACGCACTGGTGAGCTCAGCAACATAAAAAGGCATGGATGTCCACGGAAGACAACAGTGGTGGATGATCAAAGAATCCTCTCTATGATAAAGAAAACCCCAATCACAACATCCAGACACGTGAAGGACACTCTCCAGGAGTGGACGTATCACTCTCAAAGTCTACAATCAAGAGAAGACTTCACGAGAGTAAATACAGAGGGTTTACCACAAGGTGCAAACCATTCATAAACCTGAAGAATAGAAAAGCAAATACAGAGGGTTGAAACTAAGATGGATGAAAGATTAATCTGTACCAGAATGACGGGAAGAAAAAAAAGTGTGGAGAAGGCTTGGAACACCTCATGATCCAAAGCAAACAATATCATCTGTAAAACATGGTGAAGGCAGTGTGATGGCATGGGCATGCATGGCGTCCAGTGGCACTGGGTCATTGGTGTTTATTGATGATGTGACAGAAGACAGAAGCAGCCGGATGAATTCTGCAGTGTTTAGAGATATACTCTCAGCCCAGATTCAGCCAAATTCAGAAAAGTTGATTGGATGGTGCTTCACAGTACAGATGGACAATGATCCAAAACACACTGCAAAATCAACCCAGGAGCTTTTAAAGAAAGAAGTGGAATATTCTGCAACGGCCGAATCAATCACGTGATCTCAACCCAACTGAGCATGCATTTCACTTGCTGAACGCTTGAGGTGATTGTAGCCGTATTAGTGCATTTGCGACAGAAACAATTGAGTACTGTCCGTGATACTTTTTTTATTTGCACTAACATACAATTTTGAGGACAAGCTTTCGGGGTACGTCCCCTTCTTCAAAGTTCAAGCAGTACTATTACAAATCACAAAGTTTAAGCAGAATGTTAGAAGGGATGAAACGCTGAACACAAAACTAAAGAAGGCTGAAAGACCCACAAAGAACTGAAGACAGCTGCATTTAGAGCCTGGCAAAGCATCGGAAAGGAGGAAACCCAGTCTTTGGTAATGTCCATGGGTTCCAGACTTCATGCAGTCATTGCCAGTAAAGGATTCTCAACAAAATATTAAAAAATAAACATTTTATTCATGATTATATTCATTTGCCCAATTACATTTGAGCCCCTGAAAATGGAGGGACTGTGTATAAAAATGGTTGCAGTTCCTAAAATTTGTACTTGATATTTATGTTCAACCCCTTGAATTAAAGCTGAAAGTCTGCACTTCAAATTCATTTGGATTGTTTCGTTTTAATTTATTCTGGTGGCATACAGAGCCAAAAGTATGAAAATTGTGCCTGTGTCCAAATATATATGGACCTAACTGTGTATACAAGTTATAATTATATTAGCTTACCACATAGATTCCACCGTGTTGACCATCATGGATTTTATTATGCCTGACAATGGGGCAGCTGTTTGTACGTATCTGTATTCCTGCTAAAGCATTGCCTGTTGACACAAATTAAAATCTTATAAGGGACAAGCAGTACAGGAATACCATATGCAAGAAACCCAAAAGATAAAAAAAAAGTACATACCATAAATGTCATTTTCTTCTATAAGGCCTCTTCCGTCACCAAAGATATACACACCACCTTGGTTTCCATTAAAAATTGCATTTCCCCTTGAAACATAAAAATAAATTTAGTCAGTAACAGTTAAGACTAGTTTTAAAAAAAAAAAAAAAAAAAAAAAAAAAAAAAAAGATACCTAACAAAAAGGCCAAACTTCTCTCTCACCGTTTTTGAGCACTTTAAAAACTATTTTTATTTTCGAAATATGCACCCCACATGTTCTGTGGTATGTGCTTTGTTCTGTAGGGTCCTGGGACATTTAGCTTTCCTAGACTTAACGTGTTACTAAACCCATAACTCTGCATTCACTCTATCACAGTACACAGAACATGGAAATGCAATTATTATAGTAAATATAAACTGCTAAATACCTTTTCTCATCAGCCGTATATAGCAGTCTTGTGACTGCTATCAGTGTCCAGCAGAGCACGGTTTACAGCTTGTAGGAGGAGTTTTCATTCTTCTGACCTCTGTCTGGACAGCGCTGATTGGCCCTGTGCTGATCACATGCACTCTCCCAAGAAAAAAAAAAAACACAATCCTAATATGTCTGCATGGACTATGTCACCTAATGCTGCATTCCATCTGATCCTAAGCTTTGTCCATCACAATACTATGTAGATAATGTGACTGATTTACTAAAGGGAGTTATGTAAAAATTCACTTTAATTATGCGGTCACGTAAAAACAGGATTTTTGTACCAACCATAAAATACTTTTCCTGGCGTCCATTAAGGATACAGATGTCTTATCTCTGTTATCATGACGCCTACAGGAGGACTGGACACTGGCAAACAAAAAATTGTAGGCCAGCCCAGGATAACCTCTTCTAACACCAGCATGCCTCCGTTGAACAGAAAAGCTGTAATGAGTATATAATCAAACACAGAAGTGTGGGGTCTATATACGAGTCAGGGTCTAGTCCTGGACACGGTGCATGCAAAATGATGAGTGTATTCTAGTGATGCCTTCTAAAGATTCAGGATCTAACCAAACTACTGTAATGCCTGGACAGTCAAGGTCACTTTATCCAACGGGGCCAGCGCCAACATTCCCTCAACAAGTGGTCATCTAAGTATCCCACAATAGGGATGTAATGAGAGCACAACAGGGCCAATACTGGAGGCGACACTTCTGCACACTTTAGATGCAGATAAGAGGCCAAAGGGCAGGGCCAAGAATTGGAACTTTATGAACCTCAAAAGCAAAGCGCAAGAAGCGATGAAAAGATAGAGACATGAAGGTACGTATCCTTGATGTCCACAGAAGCTAGAAAGTCTCTTGGCAAAGGGAAGCAATAAAAGACCTGGTAGACTCCATGCAGAATTTCTGAGGTCAAATGTTGATTTTGAGTACTTTTAGATCAAATACGGGGAAGAAACCCTCCCCATGAGTTTGGCAACTGAACAGGTGGAAGTAAAATCCATAAAACTGTTTTGGCCACAGGATCTAAGGCAATGACACATTTCTGAGAATACCAGAGATGGTTTGATGGAGATCTGTTAACCTATGCAGTGACAATGGAAGGTTAAAAGGTGAGAAACTGAGGATGGAGCAGGGAGTGAAACTCCATTTTGTAGTCAATGGATACCACCTCCCAGCACCCACATTAAATAAAAAATTGCAAAAGGCACTAACACGTCCTAAGTGTACCCAGGCGCAACAGAGGGGGCACTACTGCGAAAAAAAATTGAATATAAAATTATAAATTACATAAAAGTGTATTCAGTCCTTGGAAAAATTCCATATAAAAACACCGTGGCATGAAGTGGCCAAGGCCAGTAGTCTCTCTTCCAAGCAGGATTTGTGGAGGCTCCCACCAGCAAACCACGTGTAAGAGAAAAGTAAAAAAAAAAAAAAATATCCAATCATGCAAAATATATTAAAAAGCATATCTATAAGTCTCCAGCAGATGGCATCATCCAGGTGGTCAATGGTGAGCAAGTCCCTCTAGGTCAGTGGTTCTCAAGCTTCCTAATGCCGCGACCCTTTAATACAGTTCCTCATGTTGTGGTGACCCCCAACCATAACATTATTTACCCAGTAATTATAATTCATGAGTGTCGTTTTACCTCCAATACTGCTGCTTTCAACACAGTAGCTGCTTTTAACAGAGTAGCTGCTCTTTACACATCGGAAATATGTGTTTTCTAATGGTCGTAGGGGACCCCTGTGAAAGGGTCGTTCGACCCCCAAAGGGGTCGCGACCCACAGGTTGAGAACCACTGCTCTAGGTGGATGTGATGTAAGGTGCTTAGAATCAGTAAGTCAACTAAGGGAACACCAGAAAGAACCATCAGCAGCAGCAGACTGTGTGTGTATATCACTTGCACGATAACCATTGTTACAGCCAACAAAATGGCCAAGATGACGTCATGCATGACATATAAGCTTAGTTACAAGTTTCAGGGCAAGGCACGCCTTTGTCAAGTACTAAGTACAATCTGTACTTGGTTAGTTTCACTGGAGGGCAGGGGAGACATCAGGGGTCTAATAAACCCCTGATGTCTCCAGAAGGAAGACCTGTCACTATCCAAAGCTATAACAAAGGCTTGTTAGAAATAGAGTTAAATAATAAAAAAATAAAAAAAAAAGTGGAAAAGATTATAAAAAAAAAAATGAGATGCAAACCTGTTCCCCCCACGCATACACACATCCATATGTAGGTGCAGCATGCATATGTAAACAGTGACTGCACCACACATATGAGGTATCAGTGCAAATGTCAGAGTGAGAGCAATAATTCTACGGCCATAATTCATAATCAAGTCTAAATGAAAAGCCTGCAAAGACTTTTAAAGTACCACCTAGGGACAATTTTAGGTAATCTTTACATGTATCTACAAGGGTCATTCAAGTCAAACCGGGACTTTTAATTTTACATGCATAAAAAGGGATGCTATTGTGGCGGTACTTCACGCAGTACTAACTGGCAAGTGTGTCCTATTTCTGATAGCGGCGCACATGTTGCGGACCAGTCCAGAGACTGTTGCTCAAGATGGCAGACAACAGTGTTTGTGCGTGCATGGAACAGCATGTGGTGATTAAGTTTCTTGTGAACAAAGGCATAAATCCAGCGGATATCTACAGAAGACTTCAAGCACAGTACGGTGATGAGACGCTCAGCCGCAGTAAGATATTTGAATGGTGCAAACATTTCAAAGATGGCCATACGTTCGCCAGTGATCCTGGCCGTGCTGCTTCTCAGACCACAGCAGACATTCCTGTGAACATTCACCATGGATAATCGACACGTAACCGGTCGTGCAATGGCACAAGTGACAAATCTTTCAGTGGGAAGGGTGAACACAATCATTCATTAATGTCCTAGGATGGTTCAGGCATGGTGACAAATCTTTCTTAGCCGAAGCTTTCCAGGCATTAAACGCTGGGATAAGTGTATAAATATAGCAGGGGATAATAAATAAATGTGGATGTTGAAAAATAAACGTGGTTTCCACTCCTTGATATTTGTTCTTTTATCATATAAACTCAAAAGTCACGGTTTAACTTGAACGCCCCTCACTCCTTAATCATCTTTAATATAATACAAAAAAAATGGGGTAATATATAAAGCTTGTGTATATTAAAATTTACTGTAGTGTAATTTTTCCTGCAAACTTGTGTTTGATAAAGGGCTGTGCAAATGTGTGACATAAAAAAATTGCCACCAATTGATTCTCCAGGGCCTCTGCTTTCAAAAAATATATGTTTTGGTATTCCAAGTAATTTTTTAGCAAAAGATGCTGAATTTAGTGTGTGGGAAAATGTTTTAAAAAAAATGGCCCTGGCATCAAGTGGTTAAACTGCAACATCCAAGGAAAATTCATAGCAGGGGTGCCAATGCTTTCTAAAGAGTTTACCATTACAGTTGTGGAGAATACATAAACTTTACAGCTACAGGAAAAGTGTGAACACATTTGATTAAAACTCTTCAAGCCTGGCCAAAGACTGGTACAAAATAGTAATAGGATGACACTGCTGCCACACAAGAGCTCCAAAGAATTACATATGCAATGTTTTCTCTGTTCACCTTGCAAGCCTGATTAATGTTCTAAGAAGGGCAATTCTTGAAACAGCCAGCCCTTAACCTGCACCCATTTCAGCAACACCACAAAAGCAAATGTTAACTACTTACCGTATGGTTGGGTCACTATTTGAGGTAATCCATACACCAGCAAAATTGTTTGCATAGATTTTGTTCTCCAAGAACTGTCCTCTCCCTTTTTTCATGGACATATATCCCTCCCGTCTGACCATGGTGGATTTCACATCTGACCACCGTGGGATTGGCATAGGCTTTCACCTCAAAGCCTGCTATTCGATTCCTATGGATGTTGCAGCTTTCGAAGTAACCCTGCAGGAAACCACAGAGGGTAAAATGCAACAATTTTATAATGAAATGATAACAAAGGGGAAAAAAAAAGGTATATGTGAAAACAGACAAACCAGAACATAGTGAGGGGAATTCAATAAAGTTGCTGCACCACTTTTCTGGCGGTAATCCCACTTAATGTATTGCTACAGATTCATAAAGCATTTGCGACAATTTGGTTCTGACTTGCGACTCGTTCACCCAATTCAGATAGCTCTAAAATGCGCTGCTTTTACATTGTGCCAAATGTAAAAGTGGAGCTAATTAGCATCATCTCTTTTGGCGTACAAAGAGGAAAACGAACGACAGATTCTGCAAAAGTTTCCTCGTGCATTCTAAAGCATGAGCCAAATTCAAGTACAAGTTCTAGACATGTATATGAATTCAGCGCATTCTTCACCACTTTTAGAACACGAGACACTTTCGTAAAATCTGCCTGCGCCAATCTTTATGCATTCTAGGGAGGATTTTTTTGTGCAGTAGAAGTACAATTATAAAGAACCGAACATAACTCGGCTTATGCAAGAACTTAAATATCCAGTTTCAAATTATAACTACCCAAACTTGCCTTTTAAAGGTTTACATTTCCTCTTTAGTTTACTTTGACCGTGTCTCATGCCTCAGTTTACTTGATGGGGTGAAGGTCACCCAAATAGTGACAATTGCTGCCCTATACTACTGCCTGTCCTTCTACGCTGCACACTCGGAAGCTGGGAGACAGTGTGTGAGCTCAGGTAGCTAAAAGAGCAGCAATTGTCACACTTCAGGTGATATTTCAGCCCAACCGCTGATTTCTGGGAATTTAAAACAAAAGGAAAAAAAAAAAAAAAAAAGACTACTCGCACTGTGAGAGAAAAGCATTTTTGAAATCACTAATGTCAGGAGGTTCCCTGTTGAAGAGAGCTCACCACAGACCCCACCAAGTCCATTCAGACCATCCGCACTCAGACAATGCTGTTCCTCTGTATTGAAAAGTGGGGGGAGGGGGGGCAACCAAAAATTGAGACTCCCCATGTGACCATGAAGTTGGGAGGGGAGTGGCCTCAGAGCGGCAGATTTACTAAAACTGGTGCACTCAATCTGGTGCAGCTGTGCATTGCAGCCAATCAGCTTCTAACTTCAGCTTGGTCAATTAAGCTGTGGCAATAGAACATGGAGGCCAACTGGTTTCTATGCACAGCTGCACCGGAATTTGTGCTCTCCAGTTTCTGTAAATTACCCCCATTATGTTCCAAAAGGGGAGCGGATTGCACCCTCAGAAGTCAGTCTTCCAGGTACCTTACAATAAGGATCCCCTGGTATCATAAAAATCCCAGAATACGAGCCAGGACCTTGGAGAATACCTTGGGAACCATGGACAGGCCGAACAGCAGGGCCACAAACTGAAATGACATTCCTATCCCACAGACAGAAAGCAACCTGTTGAGATGATTGAGAGCCAGAGTAGCACAAACATTCCTGTCCAGTTTCAGAATCTTAACCCCTTCGCGCCTAAGGGTAAAACAAATCTAAATGCCTAAGCACAATTTTGCAATGTTGACATGTGTTAGCAAAACCGTACATATCATCACAACTACTTTGTACATCCAGGGGAATTATACAGCGTTTTTTTAAGGACAAATTGGGCTTTCATTTGGTGGTAAATGGTAATGGATATCTCTTGAAATTTTTTTATTATCAAAGGAAAATTGGCACAAAATAATAAAAAAAAAAAACATCTTTTTTTTTTTATTTAGCTGTGTGTTTCTTGTTATTACCATAACCTACCACGAAAGAACAGCCCAAAATAAGTTATCCAGCACTTGATGATCGTAGCGATATCATATATGTGTATGTTATTTGTGGTTTGTACCCATAGAACAGCCCAGAAACAACAGTGCGTATTTTGTTTGTCTTTTTTTTTTTTTTTTTTACCTAAAACACACTGACATTGACACGAACACCATTATTTTTTTTTATTTTTTTTTTTAAACCCTGACCTTGACCCAAACAAACAACCCTGGCACTGAACTAGATCAAACCTTGATCTATGTATTTTTTCATTTTATTTTTTTAATATTTATTTTTTTTTTTTTTTAAAAAAAAAAAAAAAACATTTTTCTCTCTATGCCAGGAGTTAGAGATACAATGTATCTCTCTTCTACATTCATAGAGAGAGTAAAAAACAAGGGGGCTGGGCTGCACAGTGACTGATCACTGTGATAGCCAATCAGAGGCCATCACAGTGATCATGTTACCCGGAATCGGGGGGTCCCGATCGTTAGAACGGGGCTCTCAGTGACACCGCGGTCTTTGTGCTGGGTGCGCGCAGTGCAGCACGGTCTTTGTGCTGGGTGCGCGCAGTGTGGCGCGCTCCCAGCACAAAGACAGGTAAGCAAATATGCGGCCCCACGGAAAAAAAAGCCCAGTTCCGTGAGGCCACATATTTGTGTGACGTCGGCGTCAAGGGGTTAAAGAGGTTTAAGTAGAAACCGCAGAACCTCTCGTCCTCTGGAACCTGAACAAATCAACTCCCTGAAAAAGGAAGATTATCAAGCAACCTTTTCTACAGATTCAAAGCAAACCTAATGCATCTAAAGGGAAAGCTCTGGATATCAACCAGGGAGCCATGAGCCACTATACTGCAGATCCACTCATCTGCCATCTCCCCCTCCCAAAATTCTGCAAAGGCCTGCAAAAGTCCACCCACCCGAGAGACTTGGGTCCTTGGTGTAGCTGGCTGGGGAGCCTAGGACTTTACATGGAAATGAGTTTTTGGCTAAGAGTCCAAGGCCTTGTGATGGCAAAGAGAATGTCTCATTGAGCAGAAGGAACAGCAGTTTTTGGAATCATGTGTCCATCCTACTCTTTAAACTGTAACAGAATGCTCTTACCTCTTGATGTGTTCTGGATATAAACATCCAGGTCAAATCGAAAAAATGTTTTCTGTGAAAAGGAAAAACACCGCACACTACCTTTTCAGGGCTACCCAAAATAAAAATTTTTTTTTTTTTTTTTTAGAGAACAAGAAACCAGGCATCTCCCAAAAATAGCATAATCTTTAGAGGGAATCCTTCTAAACAGGCACTAAGCCCATACCCTTTTGACTTTGGCAGACCCCGATAGCCACAACAACCAGTTGCACAGCTGCTCCTACCAAGGCAAAAGAAGCTTCACAACAATGCCTCCAGACGTTTGCTGAAATCCTTAAACATCAGAACTACATCCCTTCGATATGGGAGGTTCTTGCTGCGGCAACATGTTGCTGGATATACCAGAAGCATATGCTTCCTGTCCTAATGAGTGCAAAACAGGGTAGCACTAGCAGGGGTATCATGGGGCTGTTACAATCTGCTGTCATTAGATCAAATCCCACTATAGCGACCTTAGCTTTATACATATAAAAAAAAAAATAACAGTAAGGAACTATTAATTCAGGGCTGACTTAACTCATGGGCGTGAACATGTCACATTAAGGTAGGTCATTCATCTAAGCGGGTTGCCTAACGCACCAAAAGAAGTGAGTGCAGCATTCCTGGCAGTGCATCCCATGCATGTCAGAAAGATGCATTTGGGTGCCTTTCAGAATGAATAGCACCGCATTTCACCAACGCTTGTTACAGTGGGTTGCAGTAATGCACACATCACTATAGCAAATTAGTAGGAATGGGCCCTAAATCCTATCAACAGAAAATAAAAAGACAAGATTAGAACATACCATGCCATGGTCAAACGTGAACACACCAACATCCCGACCATGGTGAATATGGTTTCTCCTAATAATAGGGTTGCCGTGATTTTTTACCCATATACCAGCTAATGCATTATTGGAGATTTCATTGTCTTCATAAATCCCCTGCAAAAAAACAAATACTATTAAAAGAAAAAAAAAGAAAACCCTCAGTTTCACAATCAACCAATGATGATTAAGCTATGACTGAATTTTTTTTTTTCCCATTAAAAAATATCAGAAGTGAAGATATTTTTGTGAGAATTCATATTTTCAGATGATTTCCTTCCTACCCAATAAAGAATTCCTTTCTACTCTACTTTATACAGCTACAGAATGATATGCCAGCCACATGCAGTTAGGGTTCGTTCACACATGCGGCAACACCCTGTGTTTAAGTCACGTTTGAGCAGTGTTTTTAAAGCCTCTTAATTGCCCTTCAATGCCTGCCATAAATATTACAGCAGCATGTTGCTTTCAGGAAGCATCGCTGCTTATCAGCTGCTTCCATTAATTTCAAAAGGTGCCTATAGCGTTTACGGTGCACTAATTCTCCGCTCCTCGCAAGACCTCCTGCTCTCTAGCTCCCTTGTCTCCTCCTCCCATGCTCGTCTCCAGGACTTCTCAAGGGCTTCACCCATCCTCTGGAACTCCCTACCCCAAGCTATCGCCTACTCTGCTCACCTTTAGGCGCACTCTGAAAACCCATCTCTTCAGGAAAGCCTACCCCGACCCCAGCTAATACTGGAATCAACTACTCCTCCTACCACTCCATCCCCCACAGCTTATTACCTCTTGTACCACTATCCCCTCCTTCCTAGATTGTAAGCTCCAAGGAGCAGGACCCTCTAATCCCTCTTGTATTGAACTGTATTGTTACTGTATTGTCTCCCACTATAATGTAAAGCGCTGAGCAAACTGTTGGCGCTATATAAGTCCTGTATAATAATAATAATGATGATGATGATGATGATGATATGAAGCGTTTTTCAGCTGTGCACTAGAGGAGAGGCAGTGGAGGTTCCTGTATCCCAGAATGCACTGGGAAATAATAGACAACTAGATAGAGCAGCTCCAGCCACTTCTGGTTTGTACAGAGCAGCTGTGTGGTAACTGGTCCTGCAGACAGGCAAAAGCATCAAGTCGCCAGCAATACCAACAGTGCCCAAGCAGGGACAGAGGCATTGAGCATTAGTGCCAGTGGTGAAGCTATTTGTGTCAGCAAACTGTTGGTGCCAGTGAGTAAAGGAATTCATCTTGCAAAGAAATCACAAAAATGTCTGCTATCACACCACAAGCTAACCACGCCTCAAAGAAGATTATTTGCTCTACATCAGTTCCCCTTTTAAGCACTTCACCCTAGAAAAAACACTTCCATGGGCATTTAACAAGCTTTTCTTGATGCTTTTTAACGCTTCAAAACCACAGGCTCATTAATGAGTGCCGCTTCATTCTTCATAAATAACACACGTGTGAACGAGTCCTTAGGACTTTTACTCAACTTCTTTGTGACAACAGAACAGATTAGCGCCTTTCCCATACCAGACACCCAAACAAATGATGTGCCTGTGGCCATCTCATCACTAAATAATGCTGAGCAAAAGCAGATGTTCATATCTCAATAAATGCGCCAAAGTGTAAACTAAGTTATTCTGTTTATGTTGGCCACAGAGATTTTCCAGATTTGATCAGTGTTGATCCAGTGAATAGCACGAGATCTACCTGAATGGATATTTAAAATAGATGGTTTAGGCTGAGCCTAACACTATGGAAATTTAGCTTACCTACCAGTTCAAAAATGAAACATTGTCTCTGTATGAAAAAATGTCTCTGTATGGCCAACTTTAAACACAAGTTTAACTGGCAACAATTATGTACAAAAAAAAAAAGCAACACGAATTTAAAGTTTACAGTTTTATTATGTTTTAAAGAATATTAAAACCGTAGGACTAATGATTACCTCTGCATGGTCGGTGATATACAGTCCTACATTTTCACAGTCACTGATGTTACAGTGTTTGATGTTCGGACATGCGCCCTGGCCACTTACACACACCGCAGAGCCGACTGCAAGAGAAAACAGCAATAACGCATTATACCCAATTATGATAACCAGTAAAATGACACGATCTTACGGACTTTTATTGACATGAAAATTATGTGCCAGGTACCTGTGCAAGTGCTGCGGATTATACAGTGATCAATGACTGGGCTGCAGTTCACTGTGATCTCTAAACAATGATGTGCATTATGGTGCTGGGCAGACTTGTCATCAGGGTTGAACTACAACAAAAGCAGAATAGAATACTTTGCAATTATTGAAAAAATTTTACATTTCAAGGTTCTGGTTTAGCAATTTAGTGCATCATACATTCTCAAAATATGTAATACATTGAGGTTGATTTACTAAATAGACTGCAATTTGCAAGTGCAGTTGCTCCAGAGCTTAGTGAAACTTCACTTTGCGAAGAACATGATTGGATGATGGAAGTAAGCAGCAGAGCCGCCCCCACCCCCATTTACTAAGCTCTGGAGCATGGAGTATTTGCCTTTAGTAAGTCAACTCCATTGTATCCTTGAGCATATAAAACATTTACAGTAACTATGACAAAACGTTTACATGGCACAAGCAAAACTTTCCAGGTAGTGCTCCAAGTGTAAAATAGTAAAATACTTTCCAGGCAGTGAATATCAATAGACTTGAGTGAAGGTAGCTGGACACATATACTTCCTATATATACTGATGTGACATTTCAACAGCAATGATCACACAGATCAACAATTTAAATACTATAGCCCTCTTCAGTGTGTTCTGGATTTTAAGTTATCCTAATAAAAGCTACAAAAAAAAGTAATTGTAAAAAAAAAAAAAAAAAAAAAAAAAAAAAAAAAAACAGCCCATCTTCACAAAAAAAAAAAAAATATGAACTACAGACTCAGATACAGACATCTCTGCATTATGCTCAATCTGCTATACAACACTGGGAGGACTGCCAGAGGAAACCACTGTAGAACCATGGCAAGGGCTGCAGCAGTGAGCAAGGTTTTGGTAATTAAAGTCTGTAATGTTACAGGCCGGTTTCATTTCCAAAGGCCCCAGAGCCTTTAATTATACAATAATCTAAAGTAGAGAATAATTAAAAAAGGAAACATGCACATATACAGATGGAATCCTATTAAAGGAGTTGTTTTATCTGCCACAGGATTTGTATTTTTGTCTATCTAGTTATGAAATTTAAACAGCTCAGCAACACAGCGTAGCTGGGCAGAGGGCAACGCAGAAGGGATACTGAAGTGTATTCTCTATCCCCAGCATTCCAAATGGACAGTGAAACAGCAGTTACAGACTGATGAGGTCATCTCTTAGTTCGCACTGTATGTTCCCTGACAGCACATTTGAAGCAGTACACCTGACTCCCTGGTCCTGCCCCTTCCTCTCTCAGTCTGATTGCTGCAGTATAGGGGCCTCAATAATAAACACAAAAGACCACAAAACTTAAAAATTGGTATATATTTAAAGGCTAAGTCCAGGGTTTGCAAAATAAATAAATAAATTAAAAAAATAAATTCAAAATTTGCAAAAAAAAAAAAAAAAAGGGGGGGGGGGGGGGGGCTATTTATTACAGTTTTGCAGATGAGCCTGTAAAGCATTGCAACCATGATCAGTGGAACTCTGGTACAATGACAGGCTCCTGCAGACTCTTCCTCTGGCTTTCTATCTTTACAAGGTATGGACTTTCAGTTAGAGAGTCTACGTGCAAAAGGTGGCAGATGGAACTCATTTATTCACAGATCTCCTAATAATAGACAGGGCTGTGCACATGGAGCCAAGCACAGCTGTGCACATTTCAAATCTGACAGTTGCAGCAGGAAAGAACCACGCACACTGTAAAAAAGAGTATGGGTAGGGTCTGATTGGTACCATGTTACACCTTAAAAAAGAAAGTTCATCTTTCGTAACGTTACATCCATATTCAGGGTGTAACAGGTTATCAAAAGACCGGCCCCCACTCCCTTCTGATCCCCCACTGTGACATCTAGTGGGGATCATCTCCCCCGCTAGCTGTTGCAATTTTAAAAAACATGGCCACACAGGGCTCCGCCCACCTGGCCACATCACTCATTTACCGTATTCTGTGAATGGGAAAACTACAAGTTCCGTCAGACTCTGCAGCTGTTGGCTTGTAGTTCTCAATGAACTACCATGGCGCTGTTATGCACTATGGTATTTAATGGATTCTTCCTGTCAGTGTGTATCTGCTTGCCCGTGCGGGTATGAGCACACATACACTGAAAGGTTTGCAGGAGTCCTGCATGGCACCAGCAATCTTCTGATCGCTGGTGCAATATTTCAAAAAAAAAAAAAAAAAAAAAAAAAAAAAAAAAAGGAGCAAGAGTAAAATGTACATTTTTTTTACCTGCAAAAAAAAAAAAAAAGAAAGAAAAGTGCATTATTTTTTGTTAAAAGGTGAACTTATTCTTTAACTGCTTCAGCTCTGTCCCATAGCAGAAATACTGCTACAGGGCGGCAGCTGTGCGCAAAATCACGTATATATACACGTGATTTTGCATTTCCGGGTAGAGGGCGTGTGCAAGGCACTCGCGCACCCTACCCGCGCTGACATTTGTGGCTATCAATCATCAGGTCCCAGCTGGCGATTACTCGCCGGCGCCCGGTTATTGCCAAGTAACTGAGAAAGTACTGAAATTGGAGACAAGCAAGACAGACGCTCCTAACTTTCTTAGCTTCCTCCTAGTTTCAAAGCAAATTTGCCAAGCCCTGCCTAAGGATCACCAGACTAGGAAAACTGCTTACAGCAAACATCCCATAAAGTTACAGTGGGTATAGAAAAGAATTCCCCCCTCCCCTTAAAATAATCACACTATTTTGTTGGTTTGCAGCCTGAAATGAAGACACAGTTTTTGGTTTATCTAGCTGTATTTACTTAGTGCAACTTATAATATTCAAGTGAAAGATACAACACCATGTCAGAAAAAAAAAAATTAAAAAAACAGAATCGATGAGTTGAAAAAAAAAATCATCAACCCCCTCCTAAAATACCTTGTAAACTGAAATCAGGTGTAGCTAATCACCTTCTCAATGGCACACAAAGTCATTTGACTTTCAACTGTGTTCATTTTGATTAGCTCAGCATGAAAAGAGCTTTCCTGGAGCATTTCAGTCCCTGGGTAGTGCAACTGAAGCAAGCCTTCAACTATGGGTGGCAAGGCATTGTCAAAAGATCTCCGGGATAAAGCTGTGGACAGGTACAAGTCAGGTGATGGATACAAAAAAATTTCAAAGGTTTTATCAATGCCTAAAAGGGCAGTCAAGTCTACTATTAAGAAGTGGAAGGTATTTGGTACAACACAGACCCTCCCTGGATCAGGATGTCACTCCAAACTGGATGAAAAAGCCAAGAGGGAACTGGTCTAGAAGATACCAAGAAGCCTACAGCAACTCTTAAACAGCTGCAGGAATTTATGACAAAGAGCAGTCATTGTGTGCATTTGACAAGATCACAAATTCGCCACAAATGTGGCTTGTATGGGAAAGTTGCAAGAAAAAAGCCGCTCCTCAAAAAAGGCCACATGCAGTCACCACTGAGGTTTTCCAAAACACACCTTGAAGATTCTGAGGTCACATGGAACAAGGTGTTCTGGTCAGATGAAATACAAATAGAATGATTTGGCCTTAACATCAAACGATATGTCTGATGGAAATCCAGTGCAGCTCACATCCAAATAACACCATTGCTGCAGTAAAGCATTGAGGTTGTAATATCCTATGATTGGGGGGGGGGGGGGGTTCTTTAGCAGGGAGTGGAGCACTTGTTAGGATAGAAGGAAAAATGGATGGAGCAAAATACCGTAAAATTCTTGAGGAATGTTTACCTTCCAACATGGCAAAAATACAGCAAAAATTAGCACAAAGTGTTGGAGGAGAAAAAAGGGAATGTCCTTGCCCAACCTAGTAAGAGCCCAGATCTAAACCCCATTGAAAATCTGTGGAATGACTTGAAGACTGCAGTTCAAAAATGTAACTGAACTTGAGCAGTTCAGCAAAGAAGAGCGGGCAAATATTGCAAAGTCTAGATGTGCAAAGTTAGTGGAGACATATTCCAACAGACTAAAGGCTGGAATTAAAGCAAAAGGTGGTTCAACAAAATACCAACACAAGGGGGTGATCCTTTTTCCAACGGATTCTGTTTTTGATTTTTTTTTCTGCCATGTTGGTGTTATATATCTTTCATTTGGATGTTATAAGTTGCACTGAGTAAATGCAGCTGGATAAAACAAAAACTGTGTGTCTTCATTTCAGGCTGCAAAGCAACAAAAATGTGATTATTTTAAAGGGTGGGGATTCTTTTCTATACCCACTGTATAGGGAAGTTACTTCCTTTCCACTTAATTGAGCGTCAGAAACAATTATGGGCTTAAATGATTAGTCAAATTTTGAGACAAGCACCCTTATATGGTGACAAGAACTGCCAGCTGAGATACTGGGTGGCTAGCACTGTGACCTTACAGCACTGTGGTTTAGATTTCAATTTACACCAGGGACACAATTTATATGCCATTTATCTTCCCTGTGATGTCGTCTACTTTTCTGGGTACACCTGGTTTCTTTTAAAAAGCCAAATACAAACGAGCAGATTAAGTGGCTACAGCACAAGTAATTGCTGTAGCATGAAAATTACAATGTAAGCTTGTTTTGGCAGAGCTTGATGCAAACGATTTCAAGTACCCTAATGTGTTGTGTATTATATCAGAACTGTATGACTAAGAACATTTTAAATAAGAAGGTGGCACTTGCCAAGCCAAAGAGAAAAAAAAAAAAAAAAAATGTTAAAAAGAAAAAAAAATCCTGGTCAATTTAAAACACGTTAAAATACATGCTTACCCTGATTGTCATGTACCCAACATATGCATCTTCTGACCCCTCCATGAAAACAAATGTTGAGTCTCTAGTGTTTTCAATTATTACTTTGTCTGCAACTTTTCCTGGTGCTGTGAAGACAAATGAAACCGAACTTAACTAATTGTATGTTAAAGTTTCAATCTTTAACTATAAATGTACAATTTACCATACAATATTACCTGCACCAATCATTGTTATTGGGGACTCGATGTAGATCCACTCATCTGTATAGATGCCCGAATGCACAAAGATAAGTCCATCAAAGTGAGCTTCCTGGACACCACCTAATGCATCCTCAATCGTGTCGTAGTACTGGCAGAAAACATTGACAAAACATTTACCACACCACAAATCATATACCATCTGTACGCGTAAAGACTAAGTGATACTTACCAGCATATTTTCTCTGCCTTTATACCTTGTTGGATTGCTGTAAAAATGCTCTGCAAATCCAGGTTTAACATGAGCTCCTTTGTACTGTCAAGGATAAAACAAACATTGTTAATGTTCAACAATCCAAAGGAGATTTTTCCACTTATCTTTGGGTTGCAGGCAGAAGTGCATTATACATGCAATTTTTCCATTAGCAAAAAAAAAAAAAAAAAACCCTTTCTGTAGCCAGATTTCCATGTTTTGCCCTTATGTGTGCTAAGAGGTTTTTATAATTTGACTGCCAAGGACATGCCATATAAGCCATGACGATTTAAAGTTAGAACATGTCCATGGTGGGTTTTAAATTGGTCTGTAAGCACTGCTGTGTGATATAACGGATTTAAGTGGCTGCAAAGCCATTCATATCACTTCTGGATATAGTGTTGAAAAAGCTACCCTGACTCCCGGATTACATGATCAGACACCACTCTGATTGGTTCCTCATTACTAGTGGGGTTCGAAGCTGTCCGTTTTAACACAGCCATAGCACAGAACAAAATTCCTAAAAGTGGTTGTAAACCTCAGACATGAAATATGAACAAAGTATATCCCTCTATAGTGTGTACTTATCTCTGTTAAGAGCACCAAGTGTCATTTCTGTCTGCTGCTTTGTTTCTCTGCTATCAGCTTGAGTCACTTCTGAAAAGTTATCCTGACAATCAAGAAAAAGAAAGAAAAAAAAAAAAAAACAGTGACGGGACTGACCTCCTATCAGATCCCAAAGCTGCCCTCACTGAGCTCTGCAGTGTGTAATGTAGCTATCCACCCCCTTTCTTCTGAACTCTCAGACAAGCTCTATAAATTCAGAATTTTGGCTGTACATAAGAGACTTCAGATGAACAGGTACAACTTAGATAAGAAGGAAGAGTTGTTTTATATATGTGCATCACCTGAGGCTAGCCACTTCACTGGGTATATGTAAGGGTTACAACCACTTCAAGAGACTGCTTTTCACATGGTGAATTCTGTGCAATCTTTGTTAGGCTGGTAATGGATTACAAATCCGAAAAAGTGCATCTTTCAGAAACTGCAAATGTTAAAAACGGATAAAAAGATGAGATAGGATCCTTTGATTGTACACTCCTTGAGGGCAAGGACTGATGTGGACTGAGTTTTTATTTTAGAATACAAAAATTTAAATACCCAATTTAAAGCTCTAGCACTTTCAAGATGTGTACATTTAACAGCCATAACCCTTTTCTGTTAACCTATACCACCATTATTCATTCTACATTTAAGAAACCAAAAGTATAGATCTTTATACCAGTTGTTGAAAACTCTCCTTCCAGGGGTTTGGAGGTTCATACTCTTCAGGGTTAATCTGATAAAATTTCCCAGGTTCTGGATGCATCATAGGCCTTGTATACTCAAACACTTCCATGTATAATCGTTTCCTGCCAGAGAACAGTTGGACGTTAATACAAGTCTTTATATGAGCATATTAAGGAGTACATGAGTCGCCTCATTCCAAAAAAAAAGAAAAAAAAAAATGGTTTACTTTATCATCATCTGCATGGCAAACTAAGTGCCCAGTCACATTAGTGCGATTTCATGTGTGATTTGCGAATTTAAATCGCATCCAATGAATGTGAATGTCATTGTCTTAACATGTGTGAATTGTAGCAGTGCGATTTCTAAATTAGTTCTTGCATTACTTTTTCTGCAGTTTTGTTGCAATTTCACATACATAGAATACAATAGCAATTGCATTGCAAATTACAAGAAATTGTTGAAAATCTTCACTAGTAGCAATAAAGATTTCTGAAATCATACCTGAAATCGCACTGAAGTTACACTGCTGCAATTTAAAATCACGCAATTTGTGTGTGACCGGTGACAGAAGAATTAGAGATCTCACCTGTAGCACATCCCTGCATTCTGTTGACTCAAAAGGCAAATTGTGGTCCATAATTTTATCATGACAAGACAAATCTGACAAACAGCTGGAAAAATCTCCACACACAGAACACAGAGAAAAGGAAAGAATCCCTTTCTAGACAAAAAAAAAAAAAAAAAAAAAAAAAAACACACAAAAACATGGAACTCTCTGCCTGAATGCAATTTTACCCGAGACTTAGAGCAAGCCCTTTACTGTAGGAAAATGATTACTCCGTACACGTTGTCACAATTTTGCATACTATCACAACTACAGTCATGATGAGTACATGAACATCTTCAGTGAATGCTTTCCATTTTCAAAAGAAAGCAATTACTAAAGTAATGGGTAACATGGAGATGTCATGACAACCTTTACCAGCACTGGGCTGTAGTCGGAATGTCACAGAAATTGTTATTTCACATGTCTATTGTCCCTTTATAAAGCCTTTTTAACTAATTTCAAAAGTATTATTTCTGCAGCCCCAGCTTCCAGGGAACCTGCAGATTTCTCAAGTCTGATTATCCTCTAAATATTTGTGCTTAGTCAGATTTTTTTTTTTTTTTTTTTTTATGTGCTTCTCCACACAATTTTTTTTTTATATATAGAGTGCTCAGCATAAAATGAGTACACCCCAACACATTGGTCAGAAAACCTTTACTTTCCTTTCAGAATCAACATTTTCTATGGGACACTATACTACAAAATACTCCAACAAATGTGGGCCATTGATCGCAAAGTAGATTTGTTAATTTGCACACACAAAAAAGTATTTTTCCTAACAAATTCATTCAAGACCATGTTGCAAAAATGAATACAACCCAATGAAAGTCTTAGGAGCAAAGCTAAATTTTAGACAACAAAATCCTAATTAGCAAATTCAACTACAGGCAAGTCTAATTATTCATTAAACAGGTGTCCAGCACACAGGCGATTATAAAAGGGCATAACTTAAAGAAAACCCCTTCCATTTCATGCTGTCAGTAATGTTACCATATCGAAGAGAAATGTTACAAGGCATGAGAAAGAAAATTTCTTTACACAAGAAAGACAAAGGCTACAAGATCCGCAAAGCTTTACATGGGCTCGGTTCACACTGCTGCGGCTTGGGATCCAACTTGAGAAACCCCAAGTCGCATGATATGTGAAATCCCATGTTAGTCAATGAGAGCTGTCTTAATTAGCACTACTGAAGTCGCTCCGACTTTAGAAAAGGTTCCTGTACTACTTTAATGAGACTTCTATCCAACTTGTGCCCATAGACATTAATGGAAGTCGCCTCCAAGTTGGATTCTCATCTATACTGATGTGATTTCGATCCGACATTACAGAAAGATTACCCAGGCATTCCCGGAACGTTGCCTCAAAGTAGTGCTCAAATCGCCAGGCAAAGTCACACTTTCAGGTCGCAATAGTGTGAACCAAGACTTGTCAGCCAGAATACTGTAGCAAAAGTGATACAAAAAATTAACAAAGGTGGAACTGCAACCATCTCACAGAGACGTCCAGGCCATCCACAGGAGTTAACACCTCAACAGGAGTGTCGTCTGATGAGAAGGGTTGAAGAAAATTGCCATGCAAGTTCACTAGAATTAGCTAAAGAAGTAGAAAGCCAAACTGGGGTGATTGTTTTCTCTGACACAATACAGCGTACACTGCAGAGGAACAGCATGCATGGGTGTTGTCCAGGAAGGAAGCCTCTCCTAAATCCGATGCACAGAAAAGCCCGCCCAGAATTTGCCTGGGCCCATTCTGAAAAAGAGGACGACTGCTGGGGCTCTGTACTCTGCAGTGGTGAGACCAAGATAAATGTTTTTGGAACTGATGGCTTCAAAACTGTATGGTGTCGCAAAGGTGAGGAGTACAAAGAAAAATGCATGGTGCCTGCAGTGAAACATGGTGGTGGCAGTGTCCTTCTCTGGGGCTATATGAGTGCTGCTGGTGTTAGGAGCTGCATTTCATTGATGGCATAATGAATTCACAAATGTACTGCTCTATACTGAAAGAGAAGATGCTTTCCTGATCTGAACCCAATCGAATATCTACACTGTTAAAATGTCAGGTTTCTGTGATGTAAAAAATTTAGACAAAGAAATAATTTCAGAACTTTATCTACCTTTAATGTGACCTATAAACTGTACAACTCAATTGAAAATCAAACTGAAATCTTTTAGGGAGGGGAACGTACACAAACTCAAATATTGCGGTTGCATAAGTGTGCACACCCTCTAATAACTGGAGATGTAGCTGTGTTCAGAATTAAGCAATCACATTCAAATCATGTTAAATAGGAGTCAGTACACATCTGCCATCATCTAAAGTGCCTCTGATTAACCCCAAATAAAGTTCAGCTGTTCTAGTAAAACTTTCCTATCATTTTCTTAGTTGCATCCTACAGCAATAGCCATGGTCTGCAGAGAGCTTCCAAAGCATCAGAGGGATCTCATTGGTAAAAGGTATCAGGAGAATTTCTAAGGCATCAGATATACCATGGAACACAGTGAAGACAGTCATCATCAAGTGGAGAAAAAATATGGCGCAAGAGTGACATTCCCAAGAACTGGACGTCCCTCCAAACTTGATGAAAAGACGAGAAGAAAACTGGTCTGGGAGGCTGCCAAGAGGCCTACAGCAACATTAAAGGAGCTGCAGGAATATCTGGCAAGTACTGGCTGTGTGGTACATGTGACAACCATCTCCTGTATTCTTCATATGTCTGGGCTATGGGGTAGAGTGGCAAGATGGAAATCTTTTCTTACGAAGAAAAACATACAAGCCTGGCTAAATTTTGCAAACACATCTGAAGTCTCCCAAAAGCAAGCAGGAAAATATGTTATGGTCTGATGAAACCAAGGTTGAACTTTTTGTCCATAATTCCAAAAGATATGTTTGGCGCAAAAAAACAACACTGCACATCACCAAAAGAACACCATACCCACAGTGAAGCATGGTGGTGGCAGCATCTTGCTTTGGGGCTGTTTTTCTTCAGCTGGAACTGGGGCCTTAGTCAAGGTAGAGGGAATTATGAACAGTTCCAAATACCAGTCAATATTGGCACAAAACCTTCAGGCTTCTGCTACAAAGCTGAACATGAAGGGGAACTTCATCTTTTAGCATGACGACACAAAGCATACATCTAAATCAACAAAGGAATGGCTTCACCAGAAGAAGATTAAAGTTTTGGAATGGCCCAGCCAGAGCCCAGACCTGAATCCTACCGAAAATCTGCGGGGGGGTGATCAGAAGAGGGCTGTGCACAGGAGATACCCTCGCTATCTGACAGATTTGGAGTGTTTTTACAAGGAAGAGTGGCCAAATATTGACAAGCCAAGATGTGCCATGCTGATAGACTCATCCCTAAAATGACCGAGTGCTGGAATCACATCAAAAGGTGCTTCAACAAAGTACTAGATTAAGTATGCTCACACTTATGCAACCATATTAATTTTAGCTTTTTGTATTTCAATAGTTTTTATTAATTTTAACAGAGGAGCAACAAATCATGTAGGGGCTATCAATTGCACATAAAAAAATTAGAAAATACAGTGCTCTAACACCAACAGAGCAAAAGGTGCGCCCACGCAGGGGCCAACAATGGCACTAAAATAACAAAACATTAGTATAACACAGATAGGAACTCAAACTAAAGGCATCTATCCACTGCCACACCAAAAACAAAAGGAAAAAGGAAAGGAAGGAGGAGTACAAAAGAAAAAAGATAACCAAGAGCAGGGGTCCAAGAATGCCAATACCGAACAACATCACATCCCCAGACTAGCCGGGGGGAGCGTGGGAAAGGCATATTGCAACCACGGCTCCCATATTTTCAAGAATTTATGTTGGGAGTCGTTGTAGATACTTGACATCTGTTCATTAAGCATTTTAGTGGAGGGACAAGCGGGCTCTTCCAGGCCTCAGCAATTGTTCTAGTGGGCGACAAAAACAAATAGGAAGCCAACTTCTGAATGTTAGCTTTTTATTCTTACTTCCCTCCACCTAAAAGAAAAAATGTGTTTTTTCAATTGAGTCGTACAGTTTACAGGTTACATTAACCACTTGGCCTGATCAGGAAGGGGGGGGGGAAATCCTCTAGAGGGCATTTTTTGCGTTAAGGTGCTGCGTTACTGGAACTGACAATTGCGTGGTCATACAACGCTGCACTCAAATGATATCATTTTTACTAGTATTGGCAGCAATCAGCGACTTATTGCAGTACTGCGGCGTACATTGTGACACTGGGGGGGGGGAACTGACTTGGTGTCACTGACATCCCCAGTGACACCAATACAGTGATTAGTGCTTTAAAAAAAAAAAAAAAAAGCGCACCGACGCTGTACTAATGGCACTGGGCAGGAAGCGATTAACATGAGGGGCAATCAAAGGGTTAACTGTGTGCAGGGAGTTTTACTAGTGGGTGGGGGTTGTGTGTGCTTCACTGTAATCACACTGCTGTGGATGGCTGTGCCCAGAACTGCAAAATCATGCGTGAGATTTTGCACACTCGTCCCGCCCTGTAGCGGTATTGCTGTTATAGGGCAGCCGGGAAGCGGCTAAAAGGTGGAAAAAGTTCTGAAATGATTTATCTTTGTCTCGTTTTTTTTTCACATCACAGAAACCTGACATTTTAACAGGGGTGTGTAGACTTTTTATATCCACAGTATGGGGAAGTCTGAAGAGACAAGTTGCGCATCACTCTCCAAGAACGACCTCATTTAGAGCCTGGATGCTGGATGAAGAATAGAAAAAGATCGATGTTGCAATATGTAGCCAAACTTCTTCATTCCATGCCTAGAAGGCTTGGTGCTGTTCTTACAAATCATGGAGCTCATACAAAATAGATGTAGTAGTTTTCGTTGTGGGGTGTATTCATTTTTGCATCAACTAATTTGAGTAAAATTGAAGATTTTGTAATCCAAGTTATATTGTTAACCTTACCTTAATGTAATGAGCTAAACAAATGTTCTATAAAACTCAGTTTTGTAAAAATTTCGGAAATTGTTCTTGTGTTCATTGAGATATGGATTCAAATCTTACTTTTCAAAAGAGGCATACTCATTTATGCTGAGAACTGTACATTTTATAAGGGATGATCCTGCCCGATGTTTAGAACTTTAACCCCCATGCAACAAACGAAAGTAAAAAGGCAGAGCTTGGTTTTTAGATGAGTTTCTGGAGTCTAAGTGTCCAATTATTTTTATGGGAAACCCAATAAAGGATTTAGTACACAGATCTTTCCTTTATGCAATTCTCTATAGAAACGTAAAGAGAAATCACCTGGTTCCAGTGGTACAAAACGCACAGCTGAAAAGCCATAACTGGTCTGTCATAGCTGTGCAGTGATGGTGCAAGAATCTCTAAGCAAAGACCCAGACACAGAAATAAGGTCTGCTGTACTTGGGGGCCCATTCACACCATGCCTGGACACGAATCAAGCAGGAACACGCTATACGTTTCTGTGTAATTCACACCACACACACAATGCACTCTAATTGCGATGTGCAGGGGGTGTCAATAACAAACGCAGGTCACCAGATCGCATGGTACTTTTGTACCAAGCAATCTGGTTGCAATCAGTTTCAAAAAGTAGTGCATGCACCATTTTTTGGTGCAGTGCGATTATAGCCCATTCAAAATGAATGGGCTGAAATCGCAGCGCACAGAACTGTATGTGAATCACACAGAGGGTTCCCATCAGGGCGGACTAACCATTCGAGCACTCGGGCACCGCCCGAGGGCCCGGGGTCAGTAGGGGGCCCCATGAAATACCCCTGGTACCTTTTTTATAGGCTTTTTTGAGTGTGGGCAAGGACACAGGGGCCCCATGATCCCCTATTGCACGGGGGCCCCATGAGTTGTCAGTCCGCCCCTGGTTCCTATGCAACTCATTTGCAGGCATGCTGTGAAATGGCCCTGAACAAAAAACAGAAGATGGGAGGAAATTAAGTGTAAATTTTATATCTTTAAGTACAATACAGGACACAGGTTGGATATCCACAGGGCAAGTTATACGTTGGTACTTTCAGGTGACTGGACACTGGCAAGGCTTTGCTGGACATGCTCACTGAGAGTTCCCATATAACCCTACCCCACTCCCTGAGTCTTCAGTTTTGCTGCAAGTAATGCAGAATAACTCAGAAATAAAAAGGAGGGTAGCATGTGTCCTGTGCTTACTCCAAGATATGGAATTTATAGCCAAGTAAAAATTCCTCTCATCATAATCATACAGTACAGGACAGCAGGTCTCTTGGTATCCAAAGGAGCATAGAGGAGAATTAAGTGCAGCAATGCCCAGGCTTTTGCGCACAGCAGAAATGAACATATCTACAACGGCAAACATGATGAATGAAATAACAATCAGTTGTAGAAAAGGCTGGGGAGTGAGATCTTTCTCAGTCTCCAGTAACACTATATGCCAGTCTTCTTCATTTCGATAATGAGGGGGGAGAAGAAGCTTGGTGCTTTTGTGCTCTGCACAGGGACGGCACCAATAAGGCTGTTTGTTGCCCGAGAAAGCCTGACATAGTTGTAGAAAAGCCTGACTTGGTCGAATTGGCCACTTGCTGCATGTCTGGGATACAGCTAGAATCTGATGCAAAAACTGGTGAATAGGGACCTGCTCCAGTGCAAGGGAACCCTCTTCACTAAGCAGTTTGAGTGATCTGCAGGCCTTCGGCAGACAAATGTTTGCCAGCGCTTCTGTCCCAGTTCCCTTTCACCTGGTTTCCACCACTATTTGTAAGGGTATTTCCCTGATAGGCAAACGCATGGAGTAGGCTGGGTGCAGAAATAGAGCAAGTGTATCTGTGAAGGAGTGCACAGCAAGCAGGGTGTCAGCAGCCCTGTGGCAAAAATGCGTCAGCAAGTGTCTGAGTAAGGTTCCATGTACACGAGCCTACTGTGACCGCTGGCCGTGGGAGACCACAAATCACGGCAAAACGCGGTACTGCGATGTTGCATTTTCCTGCAGCCGGCGGTCAAAACTTTCCTATCCTGAACGCAATTCTTCTGCGTTCAGGAGAGGGACGTTTAGCCTCACCTAAATGCAGAAGCTCCTAAACTCTCCTAAAAGCCTATGTGTACATGGACACATAGGCTTTTATGAAGTTGAGTTTAGGAGCTTTGGCAAAAAAAAATGCCAAAAGCTCCTAAACTGGAGTTTAGGAGCAGCAGTGTACATAAAGTCCAACTTAAAAGTGCTCTAGGCAGAGGTAATACACCTGTGGTGTGATGTAACACCTAGCCACCCACCCCAAGTTTAACATTCTATATGTTAATTTCAGAACACAATACTCGGTTTCCCGATAGCTTTAACATGGAAAGCTATTCAGGATACCTATAATAAATGAGGCTACAGTATCAGTCCAGTGTGAACAGGTCTTACTCATCCATGTTGTTAGTCCCACAGTGGGCATAGCCCTGGAAGAGTCTCCGGGGTCTGGGTTCCATAGGGATGGACAATGTCGCTGAACCTGTACAGCCCCTTACGCCCTTCCCTGAGAAACCACTTGTAAGGCTACCCAACCTGAGCTTAAAATAAAGCCAGCACTTTGTTAATTTAAATGCCCGAGGCTAAATTAGCTGTCCTGCAGTCTCAGAGAGGTGTGTTCTAGACACGTTTTATTTGCATTTTACATGCATTCCTATTAAACTAAACTTTTGCAAAAAACTGCAGCAGAGTTGCAGGAAGCATTTTCTAAGCAATACAATAAAATGCAGACGTAGGAATATAGTCCAAGAGCAATCTGACAGCACACACTTCCCACCACTGTCAGTTACCAGCCTTATTTGTCTAGTGTTGGAGGGAGAAGGGACAATAAAGTGGTAAAGTGTAGCTGAATACTTCCAGCAGCTAGGTTCGGACATTTGAGACAGTATATGATGTATATAACAGTACAAATCCAAAACATCCTAGCAGCCTTCTCTAAAAAGATTTCCATAAACACACCACTTACCATAAAATAGGGTCGTTTGCAAGTTCACTGAAGCGCTTGCACACACAAGCTGCTCTACAGAGGTCCTGCTCCAAAAGGTACGAGAAGATCTTCAGCACAACTTCATCTGGCAGTTTTTCCTGAAGGTACTGTTCTGCGGGTGCTGCTGTTGAAGCATCAGAATAAAAATCACTAATGATTTCATACAATAGATGTTTTTAATACAGGGAACAAAAAATTGTCTGATGAATTAAACAAGCAGCTGGCATGAAGGTAACCCAGATTGGAACACAGATTAAATCTAGGTTCACACCTATGCGGTTTCCGCTGCGTTTTGTGGAAACGCACAGCAGTCCATTTAACATGATTTCCTATGGGACAGGTTCACATCCCTGCGATTTCACCCGGTGTGTGTTTGGAAAAGGTCAGGGACTTTTTTTTAAACGCGAAAAGTTGCGTTTTTGGTTTTATAGACTTTAATGGAGATGCTGCAGAAAAGCATGTAGTGCTGATCTGCCTATAAACAAGAAAAAATAAAAAATCATCAAAAAACACAGCGAGCCGCAAAACACACTGCAAAAAAACAAACTGCATAGGTGTGAACCAAGCCTAAAGGTCTACTCAGACCGCAAAGCGTGCGTTGAGAGCAGGTAAACGCATGTGCATCAATATATTACATTGCGGTGTGTTGCAATTTAATATGCACTTTTCTCATCATTTACTGGGACACACAAAGGGGTTATGGCATGGCAGAAAAGCCAATCTTATGCTGGCCTGTGGTTTTCCTTGTGCTTTAAGACACATTGCACTGACATGTATTACCGTGTAGCATTGAAAAAAGTAGGGTTCTTGCTACTTTTCTACTGTTTTTTTTTCCTTCAAACCAGTGTATAACTATGCAACACACCAGTGTGAACTGCTCGAAAAATACATCACACAGACAGAAGAATTTGAATAGCAGTTTTACCAGGTAGGTCTTGGGATTTCCCAGACATTCTTGCACGCTTCGCTCTATGACCGAAGTTTTCAGTTGTCGAAGTTGAAGCACCCTTTAAGAATGAAATCTTGGTTAGAGAAAGATTTAACAGGTCTCAGAGCTAAAATTTAAATACATTTTAATTGCATGTTTGCCTTTCACCCTCCCAAACATTTAAAAAAAAACATTTTAAAGAGACATCCTCAAAATAATTTAACCTAACCAATAAAAGCAAAATGGTACAGTGGAATAGCCATACTACAAAGACCACGGCATGTTCATTTAAACAGCTACAATTAGCTTAAGTCCAGTCCAACATTTAGTTCGTTTTGGACAGAACAGGGAAAGGTTTCCGCTGTCAGGGTTCTATTGCTACCAGTGTCCAAAAAATAAGAGTGGGGATGGATTGAAACTCCTAACAAATTTCTTGTATGGGTGACACATGAACATAAGGAGATGGCATATTTTCGCAAAGGCTGGAGGGGATTGTTGTCAAAAACATGAAAAAGAGAAACAATCTCTCTCTCTCTCTCTCTCTCTCTCTCTCTCTCTCTCCCCCCTCCAAATCATTGGATTCAGGTGTTCCAATCCCCTCTATGGACACAGGTGTATGCAATCATCACCTAGGCATGCAGACTGCTTCTACAAACATTTGTGAAAGAATGGGTCGCTCTCAGGAGCTCAGTGACTCCAAGCGTGGTCCCGTGATAGGTTGTCACCTGTGCAATAAGACCATCCATGACATTTCCTGATACTAAATATTCCACGCTCAACTGTTAGTGGGATTATAACAAAGTGGAAGCAACTGAGAACAGCAGCAACTCAGCCACCAAGTGGTAGGCCACATCACATGATAGAGCGGGGTCAGCGCATGCTGAAGCGCACAGAAGTCGCCAACTGTCTGCAGAGTCAATAGCTAAGGACCTGCAAACTTCATGTGGCCTTCAGATTAGGAGAACAACAGTGCGTAGAGAGCTTCATGAAATGGGTTTCCATGGCCGAGCAGCTGCATCCAAGCCTTACATCACCAAGTGCAATGCAAAGAGTCGGATGCAGTGGTGTAAAGCACACCGTCACTGGACTCTAGAGCAGTGGAGACGTGTTCTCTGGAGTGACAAATCATGCTTCTCTGTCTGGCAATCCCAACATTGTGGGAACGGTTTGGGGATGGCCCCTTCCTGTTCCAACATGACTGCACATCAGTGCAAAAAGCAAGGTCCATAAAGACATGGATGAGCGAGTTTAGAGTGGAGGAACTTGACTGGCCTGCACAGAGTCCTGACCTCAACCCCATAGTACACCTTTGGGATGAATTAAGAGCGGAGACTGCAAGCCAGACCTTCTTGTCCGACATCAGTGCCTGACCTGACAAATGTGCTTCTGGAAGAATGGTCAAACCTTCCCATAGACACCCTCCTAAACCTTGTGGACGGCCTTCCCAGAAGAGTTGAAGCTGTTATAGCTGCAAAGGGCGGGGCCAACTCAATATTGAACCCTACGGACTAAGACTGGGATGCCATTAAAGTTCATGTGCGTGTAAAGGCAGGCAGCCCAATACTTTTGGAAAATAGTGTATGTAGAGACAGCTTTTTAAAAAAGCGTTGTCACATATTGAGCCCGACGTGAAGAGGAAGGCCTCTCCTACAGCTCAGGTTCAGGATCCACCGATACTGGAATAGTGGCCGCGAGAGCACGGTGGGGTATGAGTGCCTGTAGTGAGTCCAGTAGTCTGTGCTGGTGGTAGCCAACACTACACTGGTTGGAAACCAGGAGACAGAAGCAGCTGACACTAGAACACACATACACACACACACGCATATACTTTTTTTTTTTTTACACGCACACAAAAAATTAACTAGTTCAGCATTGTACTCCTTGCAGACCAGAATTCGTCCTTGTTGCTCTGCCCACACACAGCCATTAAGGACCAGTATTCCTCACATGAACAGACACACTATGAGTGAAACCTGGCAGACACCCCTGGCAGCCTGCACATGTGAGAAATCCCACACATGCACACAGGAACATCTGCCAGGTCCCACACAATGGCAGAGACCTGCTGCTTCCTGCACATGCATGGGATTTTGCACATACGCAGTCACTTAGTTGGTGCTTGCAAGGTCCTACAGGCCCACTATGTGTGCAAGATATGTGCAAATATGCTAGATATGTCACCCTTGCCTAGGATGTTAGAAGTGAAAATAAAAAAATAAACTGTTAATTTAAAAAAAAGGAGTAGTTATTCTTCAAAATGTTTGCCCTGTTCATTGGTGAAGGTCTGCGTTAAGTAGGTGGCAGATCCAAACTGAAGTTGTTGCTCAGGAAGCATTACTGCAGCACTCCACTGTAACAAGTGTATGCAGATTTTTCTTATTGCACGTATAACATTTTTTGGACAAAATGCAAGCACATTAACCACCTCAATACCGGGAACTTTTACCCCCTTCCTGCCCAGACCAATTTTCAGCTTTCAGCACTCTCACACTTTGAATGATAATTACTCAGTCATGCAACAGTGTACCCAAATGAAATTTTTGTCCTTTTTTTCACACAAATAGAGCTTTCTTTTGGTGATATTTCATTAGCGCTGGGTTTTTTATTGTGTTGCGCTATAAATTAAAAAAAGACCGAAAATTTTGAAGAAAAAAAAAAAAAAAAAAAAAAAACGCATTTCTTTGTTTCTGTTATAAACTTTTGCAAATAAGTAATTTTTCTTCATAAAGTTGGGCAAAAATGTATACTGCTACATTGTTTTGGTAAACATAATCCCAAATCGGTGTGTATCATTTGGTCTGTGTAAAAGTTATACAGTCTACAAGCTATGGTACCAATCACTGAAAATTGATCACACCTGATGTACTGACAGCCTCTCTCATTTCTTGAGATACTAATGCAGGCCATAGATGGGTCGAAAATCGGCCGATTTTCGGATCGTTAGTGGGCTATTTGTTCGGCTGCCTTTCAGTATTTTGGGGGGGAGGGGGGAGTAGGGGGGGAGGAAAAAATAAGAGGAATTCCAGTACGGCAAAAAGTGTCCCTGCAGAGAGCTCTGCTATTTCTTTGCCAGTTCCTTGACATTTACAGCAGTTGCAACAATGTATCTATTTTGTTTCCGAATAAAAACATCTGTATCCTAAATGGATACAAATAGATACATTGTTGCAACCGTTATAAATGTCAAAGAACTGTCAAATAAATAGCAGAGCTCTCTGCAGGGACACTTTTTGCTGGCTGTAGACGGGATGAAAATCGGCCGATTTTTTTTACCATTGCTGGTAACGTCGGCCGCTTGAACGACCGATTTTTCGTTTTTTAAAAGAAAAATCGGCCGTTTTTCTCCCCGTCTATGGCCTGCATAACAAGCCAGGACAGTACAAATACCCCCAAATGACCCCTTTTTTGGACAGTAGACATTCCAAGGTATTCAGTAAGATACATGGTGAGTTTTTTCAACCTGTAATTTTTTTCCACACAATTCTTTGGAAAATGAAGTAAATAACATTTGGGGGGTTTTTTTTCCACACAATTGTTATATTAACAGTTTATTCCTCTCACACAGCATATGTGTATTTGCAGCTTAACCCCAAAACACATTCTGCTGCTCCTCCTGAGTATGGGGATAACACATGTGTAAGACTTCCAAACATCCAAATAGTACCTACAGGAGGCATAAATGACATCTCATATCCTGACTACCTATCACATTTTTTAAGGCCCTGGAGCACCAGGACAATGGAATTACCCACAAGTGACCCCATTTTGGAAGGAAAACAACCCAAATGTATATTCTATGAGGCATAATGAGTCTTTTGAATGTCTTTTTTTTTTTTTCGACAAGTTTTCAGAAAATGTGGAAAGAAAATGGAAATGTATTATTTTTTCTTTTTTACACAAAGTTGTCTATTTATAAGATATCTCTAACACATCGTATGTACATAGCAAAAATTACACCCCAAAATACATTCTGCTGCTATCTTCTGGGAGTGCTGTGCTGCTTGTAATCGCCACTGTGCTACTGATGCCTGCTTCTCCTCAGATCTCCTGAACCTCTTGTTTGGACTCTCTCCTCAGAATCTGTTGCTGACCCACTGCTTTCAAATGGCTTATACTCAGAATCTGAGGCCGACAAAGAGTTCCCCACTACTCCTGTCCGTCATACTCAGTATCTGGAAAGCCTCCTCGCTGGTGTATAATTTTTAGACACGTTTATGCTGCACTGCTGATGTTGATTTTGATGTTCACTAGTACAGCTGTGGATTTCACACTGATACTCTGACAGGTATTGCTCACTGTTACAGGTGTGGATTTTACTCTGGTAGACCGTGACAGATGTTATTCACTGGTACTGATGTGGATTTTACACTAGTACTATGTGACAGATATTGAGCACTGGTAAACTGACAGATGTGGATTTGACACTGGTAGGCCGTGACAATTGTTGATCACTGATACAGAAGTAGATGAGCACTGGTACACTGACAGATGTGGATCACTGGTACAAATTCAAATTTTACGCCGGTACACTGACAGATGTGGATCACTGGTACAGATGTGGAATTTACACTGGTACGCTGTGACAGATGTGGATCACGGGCACAGATGTGGACTTTTACGCTGGTTATGCTGTGACAAATTTAGATCACAGGTACAGATGTGGAATTTAAACTGGTACTGTGTGACAGATGTGGATCACTGGTACGGTGTGACAGATGTGGATCACTGGTGCACTGACAGCTGTGTGGGGGACACTATGGGGTGATGTGTGTGTGTGTGTTTTACACAGATCTGCTCTGCTTCTCCTCACTAGCAGGTTCTCTGTGAGAAGAGGCAGAGCCGGCCAACAGACTGGTGGCTTTGTTGACCTCCTATGATGGCTGCGATTGGACACAGCCATCATGTGATCAGAAGTTCTAATCAGAGAGCCCTTCTGCCAAGCGGCATTGCGCTGTGTCCAGGGGACGCAGGGACACCGAGAGCGCACAGCTGTGTGGCCACATTCTGAGGGACATTCAGGAACGTTCACTCAGAATGGTGAAGATACCACCTGGCTGTTTATGTACAGTGGCGGTTAAA